ACCGCTGGGCCAGGAAAGATGAAACTCATGTGGAATCATCCTCAGGTAGTGTAGATTCAAGTTTTTGCAAATCATGACCCCCGGGGCAAGGGTGGGGCCAAAATGGCCGACCCAAGTTTTACATAGGAATATATAGGAAATATCTTTAAAAATCCTTCTGAAGGTCCACAGGGCCAGGAAAGATGAAACTCATGTGGAATCATCCTCAGGTAGTGTAGATTCAAGTTTGTTGAAATCATGACCCCCGTGGCTAGGGTGGGGCCAAAATGGCCGACCCAAGTTTTACATAGGGATATATAGGGAAACCTTTTAAAATCTTCTTTTCAAGTACTTCAAAGCTATGATTAGTGATATTTATATGGAATCATCCTCAGGTAGTGTAGATTCTAGTTTGTTCAAATGATGAACGCCTGGAGGGGGGGAGTAAATTCAAGCCCGATGTTCTCAGGTGAGCGCTGTGGCCCCTGGGCCTCTTGTTATACATGCATTCTCCACTGATCTTTTTTTCCCTCAGCTTTTCTTGTCAGAGACAGGAACAGCTTATGCTTTACTAAAGTGTCCATGTTAGTCCATCTGTCTTTCTGTCCATTTCTATAAACACTTGACAAGGAGCACACGACGAGTGTGACAAGTCAGCAGGGAATGCTCACTCCTCCAAGGCACCTGATCCCACTTCTGATGTTTTGGAGGTCTGTGTTTTCTCTGCTCCTATTTTGTATTGTTTAATGGACTTTAATAGTGTTCGTTATCTCCATATATTTCATTTTAACAAAAATATAAAATTTCATTTCTCTAATCACATCCTTCATAAATAGAATTACTGAAAAATATTGGGGGTGGGGATATTATTAGCCTCAATGTATATTTAAAAAACTAGCATACAACCTTATACTTATTCACAAAAACGGGTCAATTTCTAAAGAAAGACAAAGCCAATTAGCAATATTTATATTGTACAAGCTTTCCAATAAAGCTGTACAAATCCTAATTAGTGCTTCACTTTGAACTAGGCCAATACACAAAGGATTCCAAGCTCTATAACTTTATAGATGCCCGCTGTCAGCTCTCCTAAGACCACTGTTTGACTAATGATTCCTGAAACCTCACGAAAAAAGGTGCTACAGTGTTGGTGAAGAAGGTTCAATACAAGAATGGCTGGGAGCCCTATTGATTTTACATAGTAAGGGATACAGACCAGAGTGGTAGGAAGAGAAAGCCAGCGTCTTAGGAAAGAGATTCAACAGGGAAGAAAAGGATCAAGGAATCGCTGATAAAGTTCTTCTGGTCCGGTCTTCTGCTCTAGCTGTGTTGCTTTATAATCTAGGACTCTTAGTCCAGATAGATCAGGCTTTCCATCTTGTCATGTTGATATATCCAGGAACTAATATCCTAGATTTGTATCTTCTATCTATTATCTGGCTGAGATGGCCCTCCATTATTTACATTAAGTAAATTTTCTGTCTCCTATGAAGACAAGTTGGCTTGGGTGAAAATTGAATTTCCCTGCTGTGATAGGATGAAAATGATTTTAGATTTTGTTTCTCAAGTGGTTATTATCTTCCCAGAGAGGAAAAAATACGTATTGATTGAATAAAGAAGAAAATCCTGAATGATTGTCGTGTCCTTGGGTTTTGTGTCTTCTGTGAGGAAGAGGTTGTAGCCCCCCAATTGTTTGTTTGCTTGTGTCAACGGAACAAGGTTGAGGCATTGATATGTAATGAGGAAAGATGTTTGCCAAGATGCTTGTTCGTAGAGAGAGAGAGAAAAAAAAACTTTACAGGAAGGATAAATTGTTTACTCTTTTAAGTGTAGCAGGTTTATGTGCAATTCTTGACATTGATATGAAAATGTATGAGGAAAATATGTATTTCTGCCATAATATCGGAGTCTGTTTTTTCTCTGATCTTGGTCCAAGGCAAGCTTACAAATTAACGTTTATTAGTTGAATATGTGGATTTTTTAAAGATAGATAATGTGTTAGCAATAGAAATGAATAAATTGTTGGTTTTGGGGGGCGCCACATTTGAAGGAATGTGAGATTTGACAAGAAAGCTTTTTGGTGATGACTAAGGAGAGGAAATCTTCATCATCTGAATGTTTGTATTGATTGGGCACTCAAGGCCCTTAATTGGGTGGCTTTGAACTGTTCGCTTAATTACTAGAATAACTTAATTTCCACTAACCGACTGCCCCACGTATTGATCGGGAATGATCCGGAAATTCTTGTCGTGGGAGAAATATTATAAAAAAAAATTCTGCATCCTGTACATAGGCCTGTGGTCATTTGTCATGCAGACATTTGGATATCCGCAGCTGAGGAGTATTTTATCTGTAAATCTTGAAGGATTTATACTTATCATATCAGTTCTGTAAAAAATCAGTTTGGATTCCAAAGATACATTTTGGATGTTATTGTTGTTAAAACAAGTTTCTGTATTTGGGATTTAAAAATATCAAGATGTGCTATTGTATGAGGCTCTAATGAACTAGGTTTGCTTTGTGAGTTGCATTGTTTTTATTTTGAATTTAAGGAAAGATGAAAATAAGGTGTTGCAAAAATTACTGATCTATATGATCTATATAAGTAAATGGACTAGCAATTACTACACTGTAGGGTGGTCTAAGCATGATATTATTCAGTTCTAAGGTCAATTTGTTTGTTTATTGGTTATACATAATTATTACAGCCTTCCAACCATGTATCATATAGAGTTTAGATGAGTTTTCATTCTATGTACTTGCTGTCTCTGATCATTAGGGGGGATGCTAATGAGAAAAATAACTGTTTAGACTTTATACAGGGGACACATTATAGATCAAAACCAATAACTTGTGTTTGACACCTATTGGCATTTTTATACTGTTGGGCAGCTATATCTCAGATGTATCTCACCAATAAAGGCTAGCGAGAGGCATCTGCAGGGGATGATGCTGGCCTAGCATTAGCACCAGGCTCATTTCATTGTTGCTGGTTTTATTTTATGGTCAGATTAATCTTTCAGATGAGGAAACGTCTCCCATGTTAAGTAAATTGGAAAAAATGAAGGCAGAATTCTGCATTCATTCATTGTGTATGGATTATTTTGAGGGGTCTTATTTGTAGTAGTCCGCAGGGAAAATGTATTTATTTCAGAATGGAGATAGCCTTCCATTTATATAATGTGTGCATGTGATTCCTGGAGTTTTTTCTTGGATATGATTTTGTGCAGTCTGACATTTCTTTAAGGTTTAATTTGTTTTGTTATGGTGAAAATCATTATTAACTTGTGTGTATTAATTCTTTTACCAGTATAGTCCCAATCAATTTTTAAAAGTGCTGTTTAAACTGTTATACCATATATTATTATATTAGAACTTGCAACCTAAATAGGAGCTATATATAGATCATTTCTACTAATATTGATTGATTTGAACTGAACTGAAAGAGTTTTGGTGATAATTGTGTTTTGTTTGCAAATTGTTAAATTAATGGTGGTGGAATATACATCTATAGTATAGAAATGATGAAAATTAAAGCTAATGAATGAAAAAAAAAATCATTGATTTTGTGAGATGTAACTAGGATCATGTGACATAATGGAGATGAGTAGTTGATGATAAAATAGGCTGACATTAGTCAAATATAAAGCCCTTGGGGCATCGGAGTATGTCATTTCTTCAGCAAGAGTTCATGTATAGTGTGACTTAAAAGTTTTTGTGATGTAATGATAGTAAAGTTTCTTGTCTATAAATAATTCATCAGTGACATGGGAATCCAATTGTGTACCAGTCAGATGTTAAATCTCTTTGAACAGAGCGGGCAGTTATAGCTTTATACTGGTCTGATCTTTATGGCACGGACTTGATTTAAAGAATTCTGGGCCGCTGTAGATGACAGTTATAATTTTCTGTGGTGCCCATTAGGTCCCAGCAGGTGGGGGTGTGGGTATTGAAGTGTTTGTGGTCTCTCTCCTGGTGTGGGGACATTAACATAACCCCAGGGGTGGTTTATTTGTATCCAGCACTTTGTTATTAAAACACAGAGGGTAATTTTACATCAGCAATCACTCTGTGTTATTTAAGCTTAATGGGATAATTCGAAGAGCCAGTCACTGAAATAATAAAAATTAAGGAATAGAATGTAGATTTATGCATTTGTATTTATCCACAACAGAATTTTAAATTTGATTAATCAGGGATGAGGAAAATATTTGTACATGTAATTGCTCATCTCATGGGGCAAAGAGAAATGGATGTGTTATGTAAACTTAGAGCCCTTATTTTAAGTAAATTAGGGGGTCACCAGGGATAAGACATTGTTGACCAAGGAATGGGGGCATTTATACTATTTATAGCTCCCCAGGGGTCCCCCCATGCCTCTCACCTGTGCAATAATGGCCATGCTAACACATTTAGAATGAGGACCAGCTGTATTTGACAGCAGGATCACAGAGGTTAATACAAGCCCAGCGTGGTCACAGTTTGAATTCAGACATTTGATTAAGTGACCACAAATTTCTGTATTGGAGATTATATAGTGGATTTTGTTGTTGCTTGAATGTGTGTATATGGATGTAAGAATGGGCCCATATGTGTTTCAGTGTGCATAAATTTGAAGATTGCAATTATTTTGTGATTAATGCTAATAAGAAAACCTATTATTAGTATATTTTACTGAATTGAAATCATAATTCTGCAATACAGGATTTTTTTCATGGAATTTTATTTTATTGATGAATATCATGGTATATACTGTGGACAGTAACTGTGGGCAATCATTTCATCTAATAGCCTTGAAGTTGAAGAGCATTTAATTAAAGGAATGTGAGTTTAGAGGGATAATTACTTCTAGTATCTTCTTGAAAAAATTGTGTTATTTTTAGCTGAGCTGAGAGAAATATTGTTTGCAACCGATTTCTAAAGGATTTAGGGGTGTTACCTAGAAAAATTGTCTATAATCTATGCACAATTAACTTCGGGTTCAATTGTTTACGCAATGCATTTACAGGTTTATAGGATAAGATAGTTTGTGTTTCACGCAATAACAATTAGAAGGGGGAGATTGTACACACACCTGAGGGAGAAATTGAAGACCTACATTCCAGTGTGTGCTGAGGACTATAGATTCCTGAGAGAAAAAGACCGGTTCATCAAAATATCTGACCTTCGCATCCGTCGCTAGAAAAATCAATTTTTGTTCACAAACCAAGAGAGTTAAAGCTAGTAGTGGTCTTGACAAGTTTCATTGAGGAATTTACAATTATAAGCATTGCTTGTTTCCATGACAATCTGTTTCCCTGCCTCCTTGTGGGGAGTTGATGAATGCCTGCTATAGGACTGTGCTGATGACAAGTAATAAATTTGGCTTCCATCAAAACAGGGGAAAGGATGATACAGGAATGGAAAAGGAGGTCCATCATTAATCAGGAAAAAAAATTACGAAAGGCTTTAACACAGTGATGTAGCCTCAGGATCTGTAACATGTTAAATTCTTTGAGGCCACGGAATCGCGGGAGAAGGAATTAGGCAACTGATGAGGAATTTCTCTCGTTAGTCGATATTGTGACAGGGACTAAAGCGTTGATGAATTTAGAAGGATTTTGACGGTAATGGAATGCCATGTCGTCGAGTTTTTGGTGCTTGCATGTGCAAATTGTGAACTGTTTTTTGTCATGATAGTTTCTATTACTGGTTGAGGGATGATATAAATGACATTAATCAATGAAGGATTTCCATTTTGAGCTGTTTCTATTACATGGCCGATGTTTAAGACTATGAAGGATTCCGTTCTGAGCTGCCTGTTTGGGGGATTCTCGGGTCATTCTCAATGTGGACAGGAAGCCACTGTCCCTCGGGATCGCAGCCCTCACCAACGGCAACCCACAGCAGCCACGGACTGGAATGTAGGTCAGGGGAACACCAGGAAGGGGCCAACGAAAAAACCAAGCAGGGGGTCAAGTCCTAGGCAGCCAGACACTATACCACTGATGGTCTCAACCAGTCAACCTCAAAAACAGAGACCGCAGTACTTACTGGACCTTAAGAGTGACACTCCTTATTTAGAATCCGACCTTGTGATATCTAGGTCAAGGACACCTGCCTCAGAGATTAGCCATCAACTTCAGCCTCAGGTGCTGAGAGCAGAAGCAGATGTCCATCAAAGTTACCATGACAACCATCACTATGACGACCTCCCTGTCAGGGGAATTCTGAAGAAGAAGAACCACTCTTACATGATTTCACCAAGTTCTGTGTCCAGGACCACTTATGAAAATGCTAGATCCCCAGAGAGTCCTGTGTACTTGTCCCTTCAATCAAGGTCAGGGGTCACAGGTCATGACCTCCCGGCAGCAGACAGGTCCAGTAGACCTGGGGAGTTGTCTCAAGAGTCGATTGACTTCTGGAACTTCCTGTTGAGGGAATTCAGGAAGGAGGTAAATTACTTGATTTAGTGTGACACTTTTGAGAAATTGTAATTAAGCGGAGTGTATCGACCAAAGATCATATTATTTAAGCCAGAAACTTTGGAGGTTAAATAATCTCATTAAAATCAATCTCCAGCAAGAATTACTTGTGTAATTTGTGGTACAAGATATTTTAGTCCTCTAGAGATATTTAAAAGTTGCTCCAAGAAACAGCTGATTAATTGACTATTTGACATTTTTCAAAAGTATATCCGAACCCAAATTCCTGCTAATTCTGGGATTCTGGAAAAGAAGCACCAATCTATAGATGCCAAAATAGATAAAAGTTACGTAAGAAAAAAAAAAGTGTTATCTTAAATGAGCTTCATTGGTAACACCTGCACATGAGTTTTGTCTTCTGCATGGATTATTACAAAGGAATTATGTAACTATATTTGTTACAGTTAATTATTCATTCACCTCATAATGATCTTGTTGATTTTACATCATTCAGTATTCTTATCTCCAAATCACCAATACATGTACAGCTGTAGCACTTTTAAAAATGTTAAAGAGCTTGATGAATTTTCAGCATTAACTTGTTTAAGTTTTCCATTCTTAAGTTTGTTCTTGTATGCAAATTTTCATTGAAAAATATCACAAATTTCCACCAGAATCAAGGAAATTTGGGAGAATGTCCTACTTCGACACCTCTTGTGCCCTCCTTGTAGGCTTTGAATCATTAGTGCCCAGGTTTTAAAACAAGCATCATTTTAACTTCTTAAGGCTGTTCAAAGTTAATTCTACGTTTAACGTCACATCTAAAGTTCTAAACCTACAAGGGAGGGAGGAAAAAATAAACAAAAATTTCAAACAATTGTGAATTTATTCAAATAAACCATTTCAGTACATTAACTAGAATTGAGTAATAAGAGTATTGGATGTGACACCTAAGTTTAATTTCCCTAGCAGAGTTTTTCCTTAGAATGTTAATTGGTTTGAGTCCTGTTGCGAGCAAACAATGTAGACTGAATGTGCAGGAAAATTGCTTGTCCTTTGGATTTATATTGTCTCACATCCATGGTACCCTGTAAGGAAATGCTTCTTCTTGTGGGAATAGTTGATCAATATCTACAATAAAGATTATGATGACAATATTTAATACATTCTTATATTGAAATATCTTGAAATTGAATTATGTTGTATTTTTTTCTCACAGTACTAGATCTATTAGAATTTAGATTTGAAAGTGTATTACATGTAGTTTATTCTAAATACCTTCAATTCCACACACAGGACGTGGTTCTTCACTTCTTAAAATATCCAACCACTTTCCTTACTCTCCTTCACTTGAAAGGCTTATCTTCTGTAAGCTTCTCCCTGCTCAAATGGCAAAGACTAGTATTGTCTTTCCAAAAACATGTAGGTATTTATACTAGGTACGTACTTGAATTATGAAGAAATCAATCTTACTCATTACTGTTCCTTTAAATTTTCACAAATATTTAATATGAAAGTATTTGATAAAATTTAAATGATGCATCTCACTGTATATAATTTTTTTTTACACATCTTGCACTCAGTTAAAAGCTCTGCGATTCTCTCGAAAATACGATGAAAAGTTCAGCCAAAATAATCACGAACTGAGTCTGTCATTGTCACAGTCTGTACACATGGTACATATGATTCGAAGACTGACAAAAAAAAATCAACAAACTAGACTTTGTCATTAACTTCAATCATAAAAACATCAATTTTTTTTACTTACATTTATGATCCCATACTGTTTAATTCACTCCTTTTCAGTTAATAAACACAAACACCATCTATTGAGGTATCAAAGCACATTTTCTGTCACTACGGGATGCAGAATTGAGTCGCTAAATGTAGAACCAAACCGGAACGGAAATACGGAATTCCGAATTGTTTGTTTTTTTCAAAGACGATTTTCTCCAAAACCTATGCGCGCGGGTGACGTTAAACATAGAATTAATCTTAAACAGCCTAACTACAAACTATCACAATTTTAATTGTGTTCTAAATTTTACATCAAATAAGAGGCCAGATTCGGCCTTTACCATACCTTGTCCTTTATCTGACATAAACTGTAAATTCATTCCCAATTATTCTGTGCTCTGTGCAATCCAACACACAGTCTGTCATTGTTTCAGACATTATAGACAGGTATTACTGTACTGGGGTACATCGAGTTAACATGTTAGTATGTTAATTAATTAATAAATGAAATATAATCTGTGAACATCTTTGTAGGAAAGTGCTAAGAAGAGGGAAGCCTTTCTGACCATGCTGTCCAAGCGATACCCCCAGTATGCTGAGAGGATCCACCGCCCCTCTAGTGAAAGTGGCTACCCCGTCCAGGTAAATAGCAAAGAACAAGGGTCACTAAGGGTCTCTTTGGCCCTCCAGTGAAAGTAGCTACCCTGTCCAGGTAAGCAGCAAAGAACAAGGTTCATTAGGGGTCTCTTTGGCCCTCCAGTGAAAGTGGCTACCCCGTCCAGGTAAATAGCAAAGACCAAGGTTCAGTTAGGGCCTTTTTGGCCCTGTGAATTTGTAAAAAAAAATCTGAAATGCTTGGTTTTATTTATTTTTAGAAAACACATTAAATTTCACATAGACCCTTGGTGACTGCATATCTATTAAAAATGACAGAATTTTCTTGCTAGTTCAGGCATTTTTTTCTGAGTCAATAAGTATGAATTTATTGTTACCCATCATCCCTCTCTTAAAAAAAGAAATTAAGCTAATGAAAAGATCTTTTACATTTATAAAAGTTTGACTGATAAACAGCTCTAGACTCTTTCAATTTTCTGTAAGAATAGGTCATTTTGAAAAAAATTGGACTGTAAGATATAAACCTGATAAAATATCTGTTAGAAATAGGAAGAAAAGAATGCAGTTCTGGTACATGATTGAACGTAGAAATGTAGGTTTTGCTTTGAGGTTTTGTTTGTTTAGACACAGATTTTTTTCAGTGCATACCTTAATAAAGTTTTTTACCTGAAGAAAAAATAGCTGACACACGACAGAGATCATGTTGGATTTTCTTGTATAAACCAAACATTTATGACCCATGATGCAACAACTCATTTAATAGGCAATTTATCAATGGATCATCGACAAGGCAAACATACCTAGTATTTAATTTCAGGGAGAAAAGTTATTGTTGATGTCTTTTCTCTCACAATTTATGACTTGTTCTTTGTCTGATAAGACAGAATCTTTTATGGCTTTTTGTATTATTTGTTTTTTATACATTAATTTTTTCCCCATTGTTTTGACATCCAGGAATAAAAAAAAAGTTTCTTACAAGCAGTTTGTACAGGTGGAAATAATTCTAAGGCACCAATGTTACTTTTCATTTTTGCACAGTATTTAATGCAGTATACTTTGGTGGGGATTCCATCATTAAGTTGATTAATTTTGGGGGGCTGTAGCAGATCGGAGGCCTGTTTTATGTTTTCTGATGTTACGATGTATTGATCCTTCAGATCGAGTGACATAGATTGACATTGAATCCCGTACATCAAAAAAAATCCAGGAATGACAAGTAAACATGAGATGAACTAGAAGTAAAACCTGTTTCCACAGCAATCACCCATCAACACTGAACTGTGTGTACCTTTGTTTTTTAATCTTTTGACAAGGGGAGCTTCTGAAGTCTTATCAGCTCCAATCCTTGAGGGAAAGTCAGAGAAGGGAGGGAAATAAATTGGAGACAAAAAGCCAGATTGTTTGTTTTTGGGTGGAAGAGGAGAAAATTTATCCTCTCTCTTGAAGTTTCTCAAGTTGAGGTTGGATCAAATTCTTTCATCCTGGAAATTGCAGTAACCCAGACTGTTCCAAGACTAAATGGTTTTGTGGAGTTTATCAATATGAAACAGCTAAAAGTCATCCAGTGACAACAAACACTGAAGTTGTTTTAATGCAATATCATTGAGTGCAATGATTAATATATATACTGCTTTTGTCTGACTTCTAGGTGCTGCAATCAACAGATTTCAGACTTGAAAAGTTGTCAAGCTTTGTTTAAAGTTAAACAGATCATCTTTTGAAGATTTCAACTCTCCATTAAATGTGAAAACTGAAACAGACAAGATGAGAGTAGTTAATGGGGAAAAGAGGTTACCTTCAAATTAAAGCTAATTTGGAAATATGGACAGATTTTCGGGCTAATGGAGAAAATGAATTTGTGGTTGTCAGGCAGATATAGAGACATTATTATATAATTCTCAACAGGAAGTGCAGCGGCACTCTTAATGGGAATTCAGTCTTAGTCTGTCGGTATTTGTTGAAAGGAGGACTGACTGAATGTATAACAGGTGTGTCTCCCCGTGCTGAATGGACTTAATTCTACGGGCAGAGTAGTGTGAAGAGGGGAGAGGATCGTAAAGTCATTACGTAACCTCACATTGATTTCATTTGTCTAGAGATCACTGGAGATTCACACATTTATCACAATCTGTGGCAATTTTCCCTGTGATTTACTGAGTTTTGTTGAAATTTCATGTTGGTGTAACTTGATTTTCGTGATTTCTTACTCCTCTGGTCAAATATGAATTCAACAGAGAAAGTGATTTGGAACTTACATAATATGGTGAGAGAAATTATCTTAATTCTATAATAAATTACCCGCTACATGTTTTTGTTGCAGAAAGATTTGTTTATATAATTTTTTTTTTCACTATTAAACCATGCAATTTGTCAGATTTTATATTAGTGTAACATTTATATCAAGAACATGAAATATCAGATAATATACAAATTTCACATAACATACAATAAAGACAAGTATCAAAATGATCAAAGCAGAGCTCTACGTCACTCAAACGTATGGCCTGATATTTTATCACATTTTAATTTCCAGCAGAAAACATTTATTTTAAGTATAAGCTATAAATCATAATCACCATGCCTGCATGCATGTGACGAAAAAAAAAATTAAAATATTTTTTCACGCATTATCTTGACATGGACTAGCTTGTTCCTTCTCTTTTTCTGTATCTCTTTAAAACTTTTGCATCATGATGTTCAGGTCTGTTTTTGTACACATCTAAGATGCTTGATTTTCTCTTTTAGCTGACATGGGTACCATTTTCTTCTGTAAAAATCAAACATTGCCGTGACAGCTAAGCTAGACAGAGAGCAAAGAATTCCTGTAACCATTAAATGTGTACTAGATGTTCTGTGATCAACGTAGAGATATTAAGGCTTCTTCATGTCATTTTATCTGATTATTTGGGGAAAATTATATTAAAGTGTTTGCTCAACTTTTCTTTAGCTCCCCCATAGATTTCAAACCATGAGTCATAGCTTTTTTTTGTAGAGAGTCTTGTATTGAGTTCAGGTATGTTGCCGTATTTGAAAAAAAAAAGTGATATTGATTTATTGTTTGCTTTCTCCGGTGAATTTAAGTGTGTGCATGTTGCATTAAGATAAGACAAGACAAATGTTTTAGGTTTTTGAAATGCATGCAAGGTTACACGGTGAGATTATGTCAAATTTATCTCACATGACTTTCAGAAAATTTCAAAAAAATGACGAAATACATGCATATTTTTTTTTTAAACATTAATTAAGGCTGTAGCTTGCTTTTTGAAAAATAAGCATTTTTTTTTACATACTCAAGTAACAGAGATAGCTTTATGATGTACATTTGAATATTCTCTTTCGATACTGAATCAAAAACAGAGAGAGAGAGAGAGAGAGAGAGAGAGAGAGTGTTTTAAAATCTTAACCTTTTGTTTAAGAAAAGACCATAACAATCTTAGGAATCTTTGACAAAACTTTTTGCTGTTGACCTCAATATACTGGTCGGTATATGCAAAGCATGAGATAGAAATTTCACTTTGTTAATTCCAAAATAAGGTCATTGTGACCTATTTTTTGAACAACTTTCTTTTTGATATTGAAATTACATATCTACCAGACAAATACTAAAAGGAAACACCACCCCAGTAAAAAGCCACTTCTGAAACTGTATTTTATTATAAAAGAATTTTATTACTTATGAATATTTTTAATGACAGTAAACTCCAGTTTTATCTAAAAACTGATTCAGGAAAAACTGTGTTTGGAATAATGAATGATACTGAAGCCAAAGATTCTTATTTTGGGAGGATGGAGGATTTTATATTGGCCACTTATAAAGGTAGACACAGGCATTACATGGTTACCAGATATTGAGCCATCCTTGACATTGATTTATTTTTGGTTACAGAATCGCCGCCCCAGAGACCAACATCGGCGAGCGACCACGGTGGTGACCTATAACCCCGGTTGTGAGCAGGACTATGACAATCGGTCTGACACGATGTCCAGCTCTGAGGGACCCACACTGAGGAGAGGGGGGTGGATGAGGAACAGCATGCCAGTGATGAAGTCCCCACCTAATATGTACGACAAAATGACAGGTAAGTCATCTATAATATCATGTGTACAAAGTCAAGGCAGGTTTGTAGCTATCCATACTGTCCTGTTTACAAAGCCAAGACAAAATATCAGGTCAATCGTCATCTACAGTTAAAATCTGGTATCTCAAACACTGATATCTTGAATATCATGGATATTTTGAAGTGATTTTGAAGCCAGAAGGATTATTTGTCTGAATTTTTTTTTACCCTGGATATCTCAAGTACTTGGATATCTTGAAGTCTTTTGTTGGTTCCTTCAGTTTGAGATAACAAGATTTGACTGTATGCTGTCGTTTTTCCAAAAATTCAAAGCAAGAACCGAGAAGCTCAACTGTGCGAGGCTCCTATACAAACTCTGACAATAGAAATTGTAGAAGAAAATATGTCCATAGCTGGAAAATTTTGTGTAATGTACTTCACAGGCCTTTGGATCGCTTAAAAAAAATTTGTGTGTAAAAAAAAATTAAAGGTTTGGAACTCTTACACTGGGTACCCAATTTCGCTTTTAAAATATTTTTTATTCTAATTCTCTAAAATTCTACTTTCTGATGAAATCTGTTCAGTCCGAAATTCATATTGAGATATTCTGAAATCGATTTCAAAAATGACCTACTTTCTCTTACTCGATATTAGCTTTTGCCCCTGGTCATTCGTATGTAAACAGACGGTGTTGAAGTGCAGCGAAGAGTTGCATAGTATTTGCAAAATCTTTCAACAATTTAAAGTTGATTTCTTACTCCAGATAGTAACGTTAAGTCCATAATAATTCCTTTCGCAAAAAATGAATTTGAAAATGTCCACAACAAAACTACACCACCATATTGATTATGAATGTAAAAGAAGCTATGGTAGAATGAATTTTTCCTGGAATACGTTATATATCTTTCGATTTTCAAAACAATTAGACCGCTAAAATGTTGTTTGTGACTTAATTTTGTAAGATTATATGATCAAATTAAAGAAAAACCTTGTAAAGCTCGAATGCAAGTGAGCAAATATCATTGAGTTTAGAATAAATTCTGGGGAAAATTTATCCCATTTCCCGCTTTACAATTAGTGAAGGGCCAAGCTGATGTTGAATAAAAAAATTAAGGTCAATTTGGGAATTGATTTCAGAATATCTCAAGAAGTATAAGGAATTACGGAATGAACTTTGGTAGTAATGAAGATTATTTATATTTGAATAGATATGGATAGAAAGTAAAATTGTAAAGCATTTGATTTAAAAGAATTTTATTGGCGAAAGTAGGTACCCTATGAAAAGAGTTCAATACCTTTATTTTTTTTGCAACACCTCAATTTTTTCCTAAGCGATCTGAAGGCCTGTGATGTAATTCAGTAAAGTGGTCTTCAAAAGTTAAACATGGGTAGTATCATATTTAGGCTGCCAAATATTTGTATGGCAAAGTAACAAGGGATAGAAAGCCATAGACATACTGTGAAACTATAATCATTTATTACATAGGTATAATCTATTAGAAGCATATGGTGTATGTGCTTTTTTAACAGAAAGAGTCTATAAACTAATAAAAAAATGACCAGGTCCTAGGAGTTTGTTTAAAAAATGTTTCCCAATCAGAGGAATAGTCAAGACATTAGGATTTACCAGAGAAAGAGATAATCTGTGTATAATGAAAAGTGATCATGAAGTGAGCTATAAAAAGAAACTGAGCAGTCATTATATGTGAGGGCTGGCTCTTCTCAGAATCTCTGGTGGGCAATTTATCAGCCGTTAAATTCCTACTGAGCCCCAGAGAGATATCCCTGAGGGGTGGCAGTGATACTGGGGGGATTTAGTTCTGAAGTTGATGAGGCACTGGTGGGGGGTTGTCACGTGTCACAGGAGGTACTTATAGGGGGAGGCAGACAAGATGAAATATAGGAGACATTAGGAGTTAGAGGAATAAGGGCTGTCAGGAATTTCTGAAGACTTGGAAAGGGAATGTAATCTGCAACAGCTTCATAAGTATATAGCTGATAATAATTGTAGTTATCATATTGTGTGGTATGTTGATATAAAGTAGATACAAATTGTATCTAAAAGTGGAATGTCCATGCTGAAAAGACACAACATTCCACAAATTCCATATTAAGCTTTTATTTTACCGGTATACATTATTGTCTCTCTGATACACGAAAGATTTGTACAATTAATTATTATAACTTTATGAACTCAAAACAATGATTATGCAACCCAAAGAATGTAGGACAGTATCTATTTAAGCTAGAAGATAACTGCCCTATAGATATTATTAGTTACATAGTCTTTTAGTGACAGGGTATGGGATGATACCTGGTTAGTAAATTTCATACCTGGCGAGGCGAAGCCGATTCAGGTATGAAATTTACTAATCAGGTATCATCCAATACCCTGTCACTAAAAGACTATGTAACGAATTTACCCCACCGATGAAACATTTACGTTTTATCTGTAGTTTATAAATGGTTTTCTCTGCTAAATGCTTCATCAGTCTTATACTGTGCCTATTATGACGTCATGTTTGTGTTTGTGACGTAATACATCGACCGGGTATAGATTTACAACTGACCAGGTATAAGTAATCCACTGCCTGCACATGACATACTTCAACCAATCGTAAGCCAGGATTTCACGGAAAAATCGACAGAGGTGGGGTAAATAACTTTACTAACATCAGTATAGGTCTCTTATTCTCTACACATCTTCATACATTTTTCCACAGATTCTATGTTCAATACTGTAACAATGACCTTGTTAACAAATCAGTTAAGTCTAATGTTGATTGATTCTTTCATAAACATTATTAGGTCATTGTTTTCTCAGCAATTTTATCAATGGAATTTTTCTGTTTGCCCAATTATGACAGGGAAAACACAGTGGGTGAGACTGGTTGACAGGGGATGCTTACTCCTCCATGGCACCTGATCCCACCTCTTGATATTATAAGAGAGCTCTTGCTCAGCTCCAGTTTGCATTGTTCAGATGGGCTTTTGACCTTGATTACTGTTTGTTATGCCCCCCCCCCCACCCCCCATGTTTGAAGAAAGGAGGGCATATTGATTTGCTGCTGTCTGTTGGTCTGTCGGTCCACCATCAGTTAATCTGTTCATTTTCTTTGCAGAGGTTGCACATATTGACATGAAATTTGGTATACAGATTAATCATAAGAATATCTAGGTCAAGTACTGTTTTGGGTTTGACCATGCCATTTTGGACAGAGTTATGCCCCTTGGAAAATTCCAAATAATTCAGAATTCTGTATATTTAATCTGTGCAGTTTAGCTGTTTGTTATGTAGATGTTGTATTTTTGGTGGTTAATTGATTTTGCTGTTTGTCGTGTAGGTGTCGTATTTTTGGTGGTTGGGGACCAGACAAAGAAGGCGGAGCTTCCCAATGAGATCACACACCTGGACACCGTGAGGGCGCTGTTTGTCCGATCCTTCCCTAAAAAACTGACCATGGAGTTCCTGGCCTCCCCCAAACAGAAGATCTACATCCTGGACACAATGACAAATATATACTACCAACTGGAGGATCTACAGTAAGTCTTGTGGGGGATCAAGGATTCTGAGGGGTGTTAATTTATTGTTTGAAGCAAAAAAACCTATGAAATTAAAAAGAAACTCTTCTATAATTATGTTGTATTAAAATGATATACTGTTTATGTATACAAGAAAATTTTTGCCTGTTTTAATTTTGACCCATTTGCCCTAGACATAACTGGGTGAATTTAAAAGGGGACAAATTCAAAGAAACTAGTACAATTCCTTATAAAACAGGGCAAAAGTGTTTGCAAGTGTGGAAGGTCAAAATTAACATGATGCAAAAATAACCATGTATACAGTAGTTTTTGGACATGAATTATGCTGTTTTTATCTTTCAGGGACATCAAGAATCGTACTGTGTTACGACTGTACAGCTCTGACAGTGAGGACCCCCAGAAAGTCCGAGAACCACCCCCAGAGGTACGGGGAAAACAAATGCAGGTCTCCAGGGAACCCACACCTCCCAGAATTCCAGAACAAGTATGGCTGTTAGCAACAATGAATCTATAAATAAAATTTGTCTCTGATAATGGGACTGCCAAGTGTTTGTTAAAGTGTTAAGGCCAAAACTGCTTTAAATTATCTTTCTTTTTATGGATCAGTGTTTTGAAGCTCAAATTTGTATTTTTATGTTTTTTATTCAGCCAAATTATCTGCTACTATGAAAACATTTTCAGCAAAATATTTTTTTTTTGACAATGATAAACAAGAAGGTCACCAAACAATAATAAATACATTGATTTTTTTCTTCTCAGGGTAGAAGATCACAGACTCTCCCTACAGGAATGACCCACTCCTACCCCCCTTATACAGAAAACCAAGTGCCACATGGGACAAAGTCAACAGACAGGTCAAGGTCACTGCCTAGAGGTCAAGGGCCGGACTATGGATACATTACATATCATTCCACAGACAGAATGCAGGTAACCATGAGCTATTAAATTATGACTATTTTGGAAGGTTTGATTTTTACTGAAGAACTTTTTTCTTGTAAAATTTTTGTGTTTTAGATTATACTGTATACAGGGTTATTTTCGCCCAGTGTTATTTTCGCCCTTTTGCACTTGCGAACAATTTTGCCCCGTTTTAAATTCGCCCATTCATAGTTCTGTTTAAGAAATTATGCTGTGTAATTTGAATTCGCCCCGTTTGAAATTCGCCCAATCAAGAATAGGGCGAAAGGGGCGAAAATAAAACAAGGGCGAAAATTTCCCTGTATACAGTATTTTCCAAATAGGAGATAAAAGTTCTATTAATTTTTCAAAACTGAAGTATGGCTGATTTACTTTCCTACATGTAAATGTACCTTTTTCATGTTGTTTTTCGCAGAATTCAGTTGACAGTCATCATTACCCCTCCACATCTCCCGATCGTCCAAATCTTCGCCCCATTCCAGAACATCGTCACTACCTGAACGGACATTCCCAGGGTCACGAGGTCAGGAGGTCCCCACCCACGAACAGGAGCCGGTCAGCTGATCCTTACTACAGGGACCTGTCCCCCCCAGCTCATGCTATCACTGCCCCCGGGGCACCCCCACAGACGTACATAGCTACAGGAGTCAGGGCTAACACCATGGTTTCCCCCCTCAGAGCGACGGGCCCCTCTGGTCAGGATTCAAGTGAGGGAACCTTAATGTCTTATTCTGAAACATCTGAACATTTCAGTAAATTACATTGACATTTATGTTAAGTGCATGATGTTAAGTTCCTAAGTTACAATAAGACCTTACAGTGTATCTCATACAAATATAAATATTTGTGATTTTTTTCCATTCTAAGGAAACATGAATCGTCACACTTTGGCTTTCACACCAATGGGAGAGCCCACGAATGGAACCATGAGATCTCAGAGTTATCGCGTACCCTCAGAATCCAGCCAGCATATCCCCCCGCGGCCAAGGAGTGTCACCCCACAACCCTACCCCCCGGAGGAGGCCACACAGTAAGATTAACTATCAATACCTTTGGCTCTTACACCTTAAACTGGGATTAGGTGAAGGCCCTTAAAAGAAAAAATATTAAAAACTTTGAACATCAGAATCAGAAAATTTTAATTAAATGCAGATTTTTACAACAAGTAACATAAGCTCTGAAGAGCTTTTGACCGACATATTTTTTTTTTTAATTTTTTTTTTCAGAATCAGAAAATATGATATGAACATGATCAGTATTAGTGTGTGGAAATGAAATATTGTAAAGGGAAATAAATGAATGTGGAAAAACTTACAAACTTTGATATTAAAAATTGATTTAATTGGGTTTTATATAAGCTTATTAATTAATGAAAGTTGAACTCTCTATTGTTTTCCTGAATTCTTTGTGCTGTAGGTTTATTTATTACATTTTCACTTACTATTATTATTATACTGTACTCTACTGTAGATTTCGTATGGACAAGATGGAGGAACAGATAGCTAGCCTGGCAGCCTGGGTTCAGACCGCTGTGTCCAGTACAAGTCGTACGACCAGTGTCCATAGCAGTAATACCACCACTCCATCAGAACCACCTAGCTCAGCTACTAGTAGTAAGTCATCTCACATAGCAGTAATACCACCACACCATCAGAACCACCTAGCTCAGCTACTAGTAGTAAGTCACATAGCAGTAATACCACCACTCCATCAGAACCACCTAGCTCAGCTACTAGTAGTAAGTCATCTCACATAGCAGTAATACCACCACTCCATCAGAACCACCTAGCTCAGCTACTAGTAGTAAGTCATCTCACATAGCAGTAATACCACCACTCCATCAGAACCACCTAGCTCAGCTACTAGTAGTAAGTCATCTCACATAGCAGTAATACCACCACTCCATCAGAACCACCTAGCTCAGCTACTAGTAGTAAGTCACATAGCAGTAATACCACCACTCCATCAGAACCACCTAGCTCAGCTACTAGTAGTAAGTCATCTCACATAGCAGTAATACCACCACTCCATCAGAACCACCTAGCTCAGCTACTAGTAGTAAGTAACCTCACATAGCAGTAATACCACCACACAGAACCACCTAGCTCAGCTTAGTAGTAAGTCATCTCACATAGCATTAATACCACCACTCCATCAGTACCACCTAGCTCAGCTACTAGTAGTAAGTCATCTCACATAGCAGTAATACCACCAATCCATCACAACCATAGCACAGCTACTAGTAGTAAGATAACCTAAGCACTGAAAAACATTTCTGAAATGTACATACATGTATGTCAAGTTTCATTAACTCTATATATTACTTGAACATACTTTCTGATGATGACAATACCATTATAAACTATTCCTATTTATGCACATGCAGTAATACCACCACTCCATAGAACCCCTCCTTTCAATATTCACATAGCCAGTAATACCACTTCTTGCTTTAGTTGAGGAAGCCAATGTTTTACCAGCCAGTAGAGGTATATCAACCACTTGTTGTGTTCTGCATGAACTTGGAGTTTCTAATTTTTATTGTTTGAGCTTTTTTGAGATGCAGTGAAACTTTCCTTTCAAGTCCAGGCTTCTTTTGCACAAAAATACATTAAAACGTTTGCAATACCAAAGTTCCAGTTTTATTTAATGATTTTTTTTTAAATATTATTTTTATGAGTTATTTTGTTATTGTACATGTATGTCATTGTTGTATTTGTTTAATTATTCGTGATTATTATGTATGCAGCACATGAAAAAGTCTCCCTCGTTCAAAATTATTAATAAAAGTAATTGACAGTTTTCAAACTGTTTAATTACATTAAGTCACTTAGCAGTAATACCACTACTCCATCAGAACCACCTAGCTCAGCTGCTAGTAGTAAGTTCACTTAGCAGCAATACCACCACTCCATCAGAACCACCTAGCTCAGCTACTAGTAGTAAGTCACATAGCAGTAATACCACCACTCCATCAGAACCACCTAGTTTTTTCCTAGTAACTTTTCACATAGCAGTTGTCCAATTCCATTCAAATTTGTAAGTCACATGGTAATACTTAAGTAGGCAAAAAGACATATTTTGATGCTAAGTTTGTTTCTCTATGTCCTCTGGTTTGGAGCTGGGGTGGTGGGGTAGATTCCTTAACTTTATATAAGAATGAATTGGCAAAGAGAGATAACTTCTGAAAATGTTCCCATTGTAAACTGAATACTGCAATGAATGAGTCCCATGGGAACCATCTAGCTTTCAGCTACTAGAAGAAAATCCAAAGCATTATCTTTATCTGTCACATTGAGATTAATTACCACCACTGTCTACAAATGAAGTTTGTTTTGAAGTTAATTAAGTCCATTTAAGTGGAATTGAAGTATAAATGTTTTTACTTTATTTTTGTTGAAATACCCTACACAATGAGTTCTGATTTCATTGAATTCTTAAAACAAGAAATAGATTAAAGAAGATATATATTTTTACCACTTTTTCAGAACCACCTAGCTTCATGTAAATTCAAGTAATATTATTGATTTTTCAGAACCAAGGTAGTAGGATAAAAACCTCACATAGCAGTAATCATTACTGAAAAAGTTCTTATTATAAATTAAGAGGAAAATGATGAGAGAGAAGTCAGCTAATTAATCCCTTGGAATTAACTATCTAGTCTGCTGCAGAAAATTTAGAAGGCTTATCTTTATCTGTCACTTTAAGATTACATGAAAACCTTTGTCTGCAACTGCTGTTTGTTTTGAAGTTAAGTAATACCAAGCCTTCATGATATTTATTTGCATTCATTGAAGGCTGGCATTTTAAATAATTTATATAACACAAGCTTCATTATTGTTCAGATATACATTCAGTAACCATTGTTCTTTACTGCCTTATGTAAATATAAGGATATTATTAACAGGTTTTTGGATATTTAGGAAGTCATCTTGAAATTTTAAGAATACAGTTGCTGTTTCTTATTTGTCATATATTTTTAAGTCACATAATAATACCACCACTCCATCAGCCCTTGCTCAGCTACTGGTCAGTTTTCTAGTTATTTATTGTTTTGAATTGATTTTCATCTTGTGATTTTCGAAAAAAAAAAAAAAAAAGGTGTGATTTTTTTTTAAAGTGTGTGATCCTACTGCAACTTGATCTATGCACCGTTACACAGAGTTTTAGGCAATGATAAAATACCAACAGCAATTTTCAAAATATCAAAATTCATCTATTCAGATTAGTCTTTCCTGCATAAAATGGAAGAACTGTAAATGTTAGAAATGATTATAGTGCTATGACAAAATGTGGAAGTTTTGTTGTAAAGGAATGAAGTATTTGATTTTAAGGAGACTGGGGGTCCAACAAATTATCCATCAGATATAATTTAATTTTTAAGATATGATATCTTTAGCTGTCAACCATCACTTGGCAAAAGAAAATTTCATATATTTTAGTTTTATAAAATTTCATCACTGTTGTATATCTTTATATGGAGCTCTTCTTCTATAGGAGATCAATTTAGTCTAAAAATGGCCACAACCACCCAGCCCTCTGAAGATAGTTCCTTTCACATAATATATCTAGTATATGTTTCCAATTTAAGGCCTTTCTGATATTCTGGGAATCACATACTTTATTGATAATTGAAGGCCTTTCTGATATTTCGGGAGTCACATTATAAATCTATACTTTGTTTTTATTTCAGGCCTTTCTGATATTTCGGGAGTCACATTATAAATCTATACTTGATTCTAATTTCAGGCCTTTCTGATATTTCGGGAGTCATATTATAAATCTATACTTGATTCTAATTTCAGGCCTTTCTGATATTTCAGGAGTCACATTATAAATCTATACTTGATTCTAATTTCAGGCCTTTCTGATATTTCAGGAGTCACATTATAAATCTATACTTGATTCTAATTTCAGGCCTTTCTGATATTTCAGGAGTCACATTATAAATCTATACTTTGTTTTAATTTCAGGCCTTTCTGATATTTCGGAAGTCACATTATAAATCTATACTTTGTTCTAATTTCAGGCCTTTCTGATATTTCAGGAGTCACATTATAAATCTATACTTTGTTCTAATTTCAGGCCTTTCTGATATTTCAGGAGTCACATTATAAATCTATACTTGATTCTAATTTCAGGCCTTTCTGATATTTCGGGAGTCACATTATAAATCTATACTTGATTCTAATTTCAGGCCTTTCTGATATTTCAGGAGTCACATTATAAATCTATACTTTGTTCTAATTTCAGGCCTTTCTGATATTTCAGGAGTCACATTATAAATCTATACTTGATTTTAATTTCAGGCCTTTCTGATATTTTGGGAGTCACATTATAAATCTATACTTGATTCTAATTTCAGGCCTTTCTGATATTTCGGGAGTCACTCAGAAGGCGATGACAAAGAACCTTAAGGATGGGATTCTGACGATAAAGAAACAGGCGTCGCATCTTAAGGGGGATCTACGACAGATCAGGCGCCTTCATCAGCTCAACAAAGAGAGCCTGCAGGAGTCCATACATGATACCATGAAAAAAATAGCAGTAGGTTCTCACAGTCACAATCAGATAAAACTAAAATTGATAAATAGTCCATAAACGACACCGTGAAGAAAATAGCAGTAGGCTCCCACAGTCATGATTGATCACATAAAACTAAAAATGATAAGTAGTCGATATACCACACCTTGAAAATATTAGCAATAGGTACCATCAGTCTTGTTCATAAAAACTCCAATGTTATATATAATGTTACAAACTGGAATGAGAAAATTTGCCATATACTGTACCCATTTGATTCAATGTGTAGACTGCAAAACAAAACAAAACCAGAAGCACAAGCCTTTAATCATAGAATAATTCATAATTCTTATGATTATATAGAGTAATGACCACAATACGTGAAAATTTTGTGTCGCTAATAAAAAGTCAATGACTATCTCGCGAAAATAAGGTGTTGTGAAAATTAAGTGATCTACAGTAGTTAGAGTGACACTTGAGTTTGAATAGTTTTAAAAATCTGTGATCATCGTTGCAGACAGCCTTGCGGAGCGTACCTGGTGCAGAACATCAGTTGCTACGACAACACCGAGTGGAAGCAGACACGGCAACTCAGAAATACCTGGAGAAGAAATGTCAGGCCAGTAAAGAACTCAGGTAAGCGGTGCTCTATATTAGATTTACAGTATTTCAGTTTTGTGTGCTATAGCTTAGTTTTACAGTATTACAGTTTTTGTTTTGTTTCTTGTACATGTAGCTTGGATTTACAATATTACAGTTTTTGCATATAGCTCAGTTTTATAATATAACAGTTTTAGTGTTTTGTGGCTGAATTTTACAGTATTACAGTTTTGTGTGTTGTTGCTAAGTTTTACAATATTACAGTTTTGTATGTTGTTGCTAAGTTTTACAATATTACAGTTTTGTATGTTGTTGCTAAGTTTTACAATATTACAGTTTTGTGGCTAGGGGTGTACTTTATTGTAAGTTTACAGTATTACAGCTTTGTGCCTATACATCAGTTTTACAGTATTACAGTTTGGTGTTGTGATTCAGTATTACAGTTAAATGTACTGTGTTGTAGTGTTGTAGGTTAGTATTACAGTTGCGTGTACTGTGTTATAGTTGTATTTTAGTTTTAAAGTTCTGCAGTTTGGTGTGTACAGTGGGTGTACTGTATTGTAATTTTACAGTATTACAGCTTTGTGCTTATACATCAATTTTACAGTATAACAGCTTTGTGCCTATACATCAGTTTTACAGTATTACAGTTTGGTGTTGTGATTCAGTATTACGGTTAAATGTACTGTGTTGTAGTGTTGTACGTTAGTATTACAGTTGTGTGTACTGTATTATAGTTGTATTTTAGTTTTAAAGTATTGCAGTTTGGTGTGTACATGTACTTTGTTATAGTGATCTGGAGGGAGCTGTAGAAGAGCTGAAAGTTTTGTGTCTATAGGTCAGTTTTACAGATGTACAGTTTATTATACTGTATTGTAGTGATCTGGAGGGAGCTGTAGAGGAGCTGAGAGAGGATGTGATTTCACGTCAATGTCACGTCAACATGTCTGACGTAGAGGGAATGGCCCTAATGCTGAGTACAGTCACCAAGACATTCGGGGAACTCAAAGGTTTGTCCTTAAATAATGATGATATATTTGATCCCATATCAAGCACATCTTAAGTGTATCAGCTCCCATAACAAGCACATCTTAAGTGCATCAGCTCCCATATCAAGCACATCTTAAGTGTATCAGATCCCATATCAAGCACATCTTAAGTGTATCAGATCCCATATCAAGCACAACTTAAGTGTGTCAGATCCCATATCAAGCACAACTTAAGTGTATCAGCTCCCATATCAAGCACATCTTAAGTGTATCAGATCCCATATCAAGGAAATCTCTTAAAATATCAGATTCCAACTCAAGTATTATCCTATATCAAACATATCTCATAATGTATCAGATCCTATTTCAAGGACATCTTAAATAATCAGATCCATTTCAAGCACTTCTCATAATGTACTAGATCCCATTTCAAGTACATCTCATTATCTTTTCCAATCTTTGTAGCTTCTTTCCCAGAAATGCAGAAGGATCTGAAGAGAGTGATGGCCGGAGAAATGGAGATTGTTGTCACTGAAGAAAAGTCAGTATCTGGAGAAATCTGAATCAGAAAATGGAGTAACTCCATCTCAATATTAAAACCTATGAGGGATACGATTACTGAGAAATCACTTATTTTCTTGGGGGTAGGGTAATATTTCTTTTGAGGTATGAAGAGACCCATGAATTCATGTCCACCACGAAATGTTATTGTCATACACATTACTACTCAACAAATCTTCATCAGTGAAATTAAATCCCTTTGCATCCATACTTTTCCCTCAAACCATGAAAAGAGCAAGAGCCAGCTTATGCATAAAATGGCCCTGTACTTATATTAATTAATTAACTATCATCCTCTTTCCAATTTCATTTGTCAAAATAAAGTAGATACTGTGCTTTCATTTTCTATAATAAAATTTCGTTTTGAGAATAAAGATATTGGAAAGCAGGTTTGAGAAATTGCAATGTTCTTGAAATTTGCAGAAAACATCCGTAGTTGACTACGTTTAGCAAAGAATTAAAATATGAGCACAGCTCACGATCCAAAAAAAAAAAACATTTTTAGATCTTCAGAAATAGAGCTTTCTTTATGTATTTGCATATTTTGGATCGGAAGTTGTGCTCTATATGAAATATTGAAAAAATGCTTCAACTTTAGGTCATTTTCAAAGGAATTTACAGGATATGAGGAAAATGACGCATTTTAACGTCATGATGGGAAAATACGTCACAATTTGGTCACCAACACTCCAAGTGATAAATAAAATATGAGTGGTTTAGATTTTTCGGAAATTTTCAGGGCCAAATAAGGCCAAACATGGCTCTTGCTCTTTGCCACCATGAAAATATGTGATTTTACAGTAATAACTTTTTTTCTCCCAAAATATCAGAGAAAAATTATGTTCCTACAGAGTAGATTTAAATTATTTTACACATATTTCAGATAAAATATATAGATTAAAGGACCTGCTTTTAGACAACTCGGTATTTATTTTGGTTGTTGACAGATTTTTGAAGGAGGAGCCTGAAACGATAGAAGAAGCGTTAAAGCGATGTAAACGTTTGACTGGTACCCTGTTTACTCTCAAAAGGTCAGTAGGTCATACTGTATAAATCAAGCAAATAATTTTAAGTGTAAATAATTCAGATGGATTCTATCAAAGTATTCTCCAAAACTTCTTGCTTGTAAAAGATTAAAAGATTTAAGGAAAATTATCTCATTTATGTATAAAACATTTAAATTTCCTCAAAACATGACAGAAGAGCTATTGAGAATCACAGAGGGGATTCTGAGATTGGAAAAAATTATAAAATATTAAATGTATTAATAATTTCAGAAAAGAATTCTATTGGAAAATGTTTTCAGTTTACAATATACATAAAATGAAAATCACTTCGTTATAAGCATCAGTTCATTATAAGCATGTACAATAACAGTGTGTGTTACTGTATATATTATTTAAAATAAATAAAGTAAGCCTTGTTTATCCAGTATCTTGGGTTTTTAAGCAATGAAGCATTAGGAACTGAAATTCCTTGGTACATCCTTTAAATTGTACCATACATGTTACACAATCAGGAGGTAAAGGATATGGTTTATTGGCATCGGGATTAAGGAAGCTCCACTCAAATTTGATAATTTTTATTCAGGTTAGCATCTGTTCAGGAACACAGAGCCCCCCAGGTTCCCACGAAGCGTGTCGGAGGGAAGATTCCTTCAGAAGAGGACAAGAAAGCTCTGTTGGAGAACATCAGGGCCATGGTCCCAGACCATCAAACCAGGCTCTTAAAACTAAAAGTAGGTAACATGCTAAAAAATAAAATCTCTAGACCATCAGACCAGGGTCGTTAAATAAGAAGTTGGTAACAGGTCCTGATAACATGACAATTTAATAAAGAAATAATAGTTATTTATCCAAGTGATGAGAGTTATCTCCCTTATCAGAGGGTTGTTGAACCTTAAATTTCTTGAGAGCTATTTCTAAAGTATAGAACATGCTAAAAAAATAAAAGCCCTGGAGGCATCTTTGAAAGTTATAAATGAGACAACATTAAAATACATACTTCTTTCAGTTCAATGTGTAGATTTTTATTTGATATTCATCAATTATAAAATTTTAACATTAAGGTCAATTATCTGTTTGCTCACTCATATAAAATTATTTCTTAATAAGATGTTAAAAAAAAAAAATCTAAAATACAGTTAAAATCCACACAATTTCAGCATTCCTTACAGGGCAAATGAAAATGCCTTGACAACTTGACAATTTAGTAAAGAATTAATGATTATTTATCCCAGTGATGAGTTATCTTTCTTTTCAGAGGGTATTTGAACCTTAAATTATGCGAGAGCTATTTCTGTTTAACTTTTGTCCTCATATGCAGACTCTTCATTAGATAATCTCTGTTTACAGGCAGCTGATGCATCCAGGCAACGAAAGAAAAACATCATCACACAACAAGAGGCCCTCAAATTTGGAAAGTCTTTAGAAATAGCCACACGTCTACTTCGACCCAGCACTAAGGAGTCGGTGTCGTCTGCTGAAGATGGAGGCACCAAGTCGTCTGTTTCTGTTCCTGTCAGTCAGTCTTCCTCCACAGCTACCTCAGTCAGTGTCAAACCTCTCACAGTGTCGTCATCAATTCCTTCCTCGACCGCAACCGGTAAATCCAACTCCCCATCAGAACCAACTGCTGTCACTTCAGGTAGGGCGCCATCTTCTCGAGAAGTTTCGGAAAAACACAGAGAGGAGATTGTAAATCAAGAAGATGACCCCTGCCTACAAGCAGCACTTCTGGCTAAGAAAAATGACATTGCTAGGGCAGCATTTTTCAGTTCAATGACTACTCCCCCTACCTCGCCTTCGCCATCAGACGAATTGGGATCTTTCTCACCCCCTAGACCATTAATGGATTACACAGTTCATATATCACAAGTGAAAGATTCTAGTACGGGTGAGACTCAGTACACAGTTACAGATGGACGATTTTCACAGGCTTCTCATTCAACCGCGACCGCTCAACTGGTGACGTCCACTACTACTGCCACAAACACAGGAAGTAACGCCATTTCACTGGCAACCCGACTAAGTCCAACAAACATTCCAAGAATCTCTTCAGTAGTAAAGTCAACAGAGACAGTAGAATCATCCAAAATCACTAGAAAAATAAGGACCTCTACACCTATCGCTAGTAAAGATAGTGAAAAAACAGTTTCGAAAATTCCAAGCCTTAGGAAGGATGGACAGAGTGAGAGTAGTAGCGGACCAGATGTACGGCCTAAAAAAATACCTCCTCCTCCACCCCCCAGGAAAAGTAGTCGTTTACCAAGTCCTGGGATCAAAATGGACACTGAAGTTTCTCAAAATGGAAGTGTGTCTATAGTTTCCTCCAAGCCAAAAATTCCCCCAAAAGACATAACAATTCTGGGAGGGCACCAAATGCAGGTGAAAGATTCCGGAATAGGTACCTCCACTCCAAAGTCTAGCGTTCTCCCAAAACCTTCAAGTAAATTTGAGAAAGGGATTATTGAAGCTATAGCTGTCCAGAATAAAGAAAATTTTAAGGACAGTGGAACAAAAATGGAGTCGCATGAACAAACATTGTCAGAACAAGAAGCACAAGGGGCCAGGGCTAAAATGCCCCCTCCTGGCAAAAAACCCAAACCTCCCCCTCCCCAGAGGAAATCTAGTCTCTCCCATCCCGAAGAAAAGTCACAGAAAACAAAAGAGGATTCATAGAAATAGTAAACAGAAGAAATATAGTCTCTCCCATCCCAAAGGAAAGTCACAGACTCAAAAACTAAAGAGGATTCACAGAAAAAACAGAAAATTCAAACGTAACTCATGGTGCTGAAAACAATTAACCTCATTCTACAAAACTAGGTCTCTATGATCTACGACAATGTTTGACGTAGTCAAAATAACATGTTTATACAAATTTGTTAATTGATAGCTTTATTCTAAGACTGAATGTTGTTCACATGGACTCTTATTATGTGTTTATACATGTTTACATCGACATAATTTTTTCCCACATCTACCTCTGAACAGACAATTGACCATTTCTAGTCAGTTTCATGCAAAATGGATAAAATGGTGTCCAAACTTAAAATGGTTGTGTTTTTTGCATGCTTACTAATGAATTAATGATGTCATGAGACATTGAAACTTAGATGAGCTTGAACTTTTTTTTTCATACAATGAAAAAATAAAAGAAATTGAAATTTTCTGTGCTTTTATTTATTCAAAGGATTTTCATAGCTTCGCGTACAATTGAACACAATTCTAGGAAGGCTAATTGTTCCATTTTCTGTCTATATTCAAATTGATAAGTAAATAAATTAGTGAATGCATCAAATTTGAGTCTTATTTATAAACTATAGCAATAATTTTCACCATTTATGATGCATTAAGATACAAATTGAATGATCTGCCTTTCATAAATGGAGGCTATGAAGAAAAAAACAGTGTATCAGGAAAGTAGAAAACATATGGCTAGGTTAGGAATAGAACCCAGGATCCCTGCATCACTAGTGTAACAGGAAAGGAGAATATGTATGGCTGGACAGGGAATCAAACCCGGGACCCCTGATCACTAGTCAGGTGATCTACTGACTGAGTTATCCAGGCCGATATCCACAGCACAAACCATTACATTCCACCCTCCTTAAATGGTCTTCCTTCTCAAAGACAAAGCTTTATTAGAACCTTACAGAATTTTCACCTACAATATGGGGGTTGGTCAACAGCAGCCAAATCTGCAACAGGAGATTGAAAATGTATAATAAATAGACTGGGAATCGAACCAGAGACCCTTGCAGTCAGGTGATCTACCCACCAAGCTACACAGGTAGATATCCATGGCTCAAATCATTACATGTGTATATATGCCTTTGCCACCTCAACTGACCTTGACATCTATAACCTTGTATCGCCAAAAAAAAAGATAACTTGTTATTTAAAAAAATTTATTAACAATTTTAATTATGTAAATTGTTCATATACGTATTTCATTTATATATACCTCTCAATACAGTTTTTTATAATATGTCAATATGATTGCATCATCTCACAGTCTCACACACATCACTTAAATACGTTAAATAGGAAATAAAGTATACCGACATATTGGCTCTTCTGTCAAGGAAGCTCAGCGGTCAACTGTTTTCCTTCACAAACAATAGTTCTTACATTTTATAATATCATGTTGCAGAAAATCTGGATTGTATCACATATTCAATATGTATTTATTAACATACATGTACATCCAGTACATGTTGCACACAATTATTTCAACATGATTATTTTAAGAATGTTCACAAAAAATTTTTTGTTCAAAAATCTAAAGAAACTGATATCGACTAGTTGTATTTAGTGTAAAAAAAATAATTAAATTGTTCAATTAAAAATTTATTAATTAATTTTCATACCCTAAATAGAAACAAAAGTAAAAAAAAAAAGTCAGGTTTTTGGTTTTGCCTCCAAAAGTAGCTCTCTTGAGACAGAATATTTGCACTATAGTGGAATTTTTTTTCCTTTCCTGCAGCAGTCTCCTGACTTGATATACGAATACTCATTAATTCCTTTAAAATTTCTAGATTAATGTTCTTTCCTTCAACTGTATCACTGCTGTTGGAATGTTTTCCCACTGCAAGTAAAACAAAACCATTAAAAAAGACCTTCACTTTTTTGTTCATTCTACACAGTCATTTAAATAAATTCACATCTTCAAATTGCTAGGATAAAAAAACAACAACAGATAAACACTGTCATTCTGTCCATTTCTGAACAATGGTGAACATGTTTTTTGAAGCATGGTAAAGGTAGATATATATGTATTTTGACATGGAGCCTCTTTCTGATAATGGGTGACCTACTGACCTTATTGTCTTCTTCTCTTTGCTTTTGACTTCTGGCCGTGCTCTGTTCAGTACTTTTAAGAATTCTGAGGTTTTGGATCTCATACGGGAATGGATGTATGCCTGGAAAAAAAAATCATGTTAAACAGTAGATGATCTCAGTTTTACAGCTAAGTTTGACAGATAATTACTTGATCTAACTGACATGTTCAGAACTGAGTCTTTCTCTTAAATCTTAATGAAAACAAAATGCTTAGGGCCAGCCTCATTTTGCTGTACAGTTTTATATTGTAGATCACTTTATTTTCGTGACACCTTATTTTTGCGAGATAGTCATTGACTCTTTATCAGCGAGACAAAATTTTCATGAATTGTGGTTATATATTGCTCTATATAATATTTAGGGATAATAATATACGCGAGAATGAAATTTTCTCGAGCGCACTGTTTGCGTAATTACTGTTATGCGAAATATAGAGTTCTTGTGAATAAAAAGTGATTTACAGTATTATAAAAGACAGATATCATTAGAACACATTACGGATCATCCTTCTTCATACCTTAGAACACTTGATGTGGTAGTGAAGATAGTCCCGGAGTGTATGTATGAGGTTAATGGTGTTCTCTCGAGCAGCCTTGCTAGTGTGCCGAGGAAATAATACTGAAAAATAAACATAAATCATTTCAATTTAAAGTATCCAGAAAAACAATCAAGTTTCTAAAGTCAAGCAGTGATGAAACAAGTGAAAAATTAAATGCAAATCTTTAATCTTACTCAAATTCACTTTACTTTGCTTCAAATAATCATGAATAATATAAAACATTTCACACAAAATTAATTTTCAAAATTTCATTGCTCTATCAACTTAATAAATTTTATGTAGCCTGTGTTGTCCCTTGCTAACAAACCAAATATAATGTGACATCTTACCAAATGTAATGTGACCTCTTACCAAATGTAATGTACTTTATGTTGTCTCCTGGCAACTTACCAAATGTAATGTAACCTATGTTGTTTATGAGGGTGTGAGAGAACAGGACCTGGGGGGCCTGCTGGAACTTTCTACGCCCCTCCTTAAACTCCTACAACACAATTAAATTTTTTTTACTAAATTAGGAACACTGTTATATTAAATACTCTATTAAATGCATATTTTTTTTTCCAAATATTTGTATTATTTTAAGCTGGAACAGTATGTAAATAATATGTACACAGTTAGGGGGTTGTCATCTTTTTGAAATATTATACTGATAAATAATACTTGATTGTGAATCTTTATTTTTCATTATAATTTTATTGATTATATCATGTACAAGTATTATTATTTAATATCTGTAACTTGACCTATTATACAAGGAGAGGGTGTACATAGGCCTTGCCTGTTGCCCAATCCTTATTGAATTATTCAATAAAAATATGTTTAAAGTTAATTTTTTTTATTTGCCAAGATTAATTTTCAATTAGCAATTATGACTTTATAAGAAAAAATATGAAACTGAAATGTTTGTTTTAATGTGTCACTCTGTTCATACCTGCATAAAAACTTTTCCTATTACCACATCGTCATCATCCCTAAATATTGTGCTAAAAATAACGGTCACTCGGTCCTTCTGAGCATCTACGTACCTATAAAACAGAGTCATGAATGGTGAACACTCAAACAAGTAGATATGTGCAATGCATATGTAAATTAAATGCAACTTTTCAAAAAAAAATTTTTTTTGATAATAATAGACAAGAGGCCCAGGGGCCACAGTGCTCACCTGAGCACATTGGGCTTGAATTTACCCCCCCCCCCCCTTTCCAGGCGTTCATCATTTGAACAAACTAGAATCTACACTACCGGATGATTCCATATTAGTATCACTAATCATAGCTTTGAATTTTTAAGGTTAGCTATATATCCCTATGTAAAACTTGGGTCGGCCATTTTGGCCCCACCCTATCCCCAGGGCCGGGGGTCATGATTTGAAAAAAAATAAGTCTAAACCTGAAATGTTTGTTATAATGTTTCATCTTTCCTGGCCCAGTGGTAAAAACTTTTCCTATTACAGTGGTTCTGGAGAAGAAGATTTTTAAAGATTTTTGAAAAACTTATATACATGAAAAACTTGAATCTACACTCCTCATCATCCCTAAATATTGTGCTAAAAATTTTAACGGTCACTCGGCCCCTGGGGTCATGATTTGAACAAACTTGAATCTACGTACCTATAAAACATCTTTCCTGGCCCAGTCATGAATGAAGATTTTTAAAGATTTTTCCTATATACTCAAACAAGTAGATATGTGCAATGCATATGTAGATCTATTAAATGCAACATGCAATATATGCTTATTTTCCTATCATAAGATAATTAATTATCATTAAAATATGTCAGATTTTGACCTAAAATTAATTTAGAATGCCCTTTATGAAATCTCTTTTTTTTTTTAAAATAGGGGGAGGCTATGAGACACAATTTCTTTTGCAAAAATTTATTCAATGTTGTTCTTTATTTATAATGAATCAAATAGAAATTTTCTTTTAAAAAGACAATAATTATAATTGATCTTTGGGCAGCTTTATCATTTTCCTTCCCTTTCCCTGAAAAACATAACTGATTTTATCTCATGTCAAAATAACCTTATAGTTCAGACTTTTAGTGCTAAATACAATTATTTTAAACTTGAAATCAAGGACTAAATTTTGAGTACTTTGATTTATCAGAATGACTTATAAAGCAGTCCAGACGTACATTGTCTCATCATCTCTGTACTGGATTACTGCCCTTTTATTACCAGTGGCACCCTCTTCCTGAAACTGAAAGTACTTCTCAAACACTGAAGCAAAACAGTTCCGCTTGAGTAAGCCGACCTTTGTGACCCAGTCATCCCAATCTTTTGGCACTTTTTCAAGGTCAAACACCACTGACACGTTATAACCTGAAACACAATGAAATATACATCCTCAGGGTTTTCTTTTTTTCTCCTAATTGCAAATTCATTCCAGATATAATCAAATTAATGGTATTTTCTGTAGTACTGTAAATATTAAGATGGCAATGAGTTTCAATTTATTTCCGCAAAGGAAATAAGCAGTTACTACTTTGTTAAAACATGTTTTTTTTCTTCCAAAATTGTAATTAAATCTATGAAAAGTTTTGGTTGAAGGAGGAAGGAGGGGATATGCTGTAAAATAAATTGTTATTATTGGATGATTTTTAGGATATATATTTAAAAACAATTTAACTCTTGTTCAATGATGAACTCTTGATCACTTGATATTAATCCTTGATACTTTTCAAATATTGTATACATGGAAATAAGGACCCCATTTTCAGCCCATTTCACCCTTACCATGAGTGGATGCATTAAAGCCTGATTTATATATAACTTAAATTAAAACTGCATCTGAATGAATTGCCAATAGGTGAAAAACAAACAAAAGGAGAAGATAACCCTGTATACAATAAATGTTAGTCTCCTTTTAGTTAATTTTTTTTATTTCTATTGTGCTTGGTATATTATGCTGACCTTGTAAATTCAATATCATATTTAGTTTTTTTTTCTTTTTATCTATTTCCTGATTAAAAATTTGACTGTGATTACATAATTTCCCTTTAGGTGTAAATATGGGACAATGGGATCTTTTTTTGTGCTAAATACAGATATGAAATGGAGGGTTGGTTTGGTTTTTTTTAAAATTAAATATACCCTAAAATCTTGAAAATAAGACGGATTTAATAATAAGCCGGTTTTGAAAATAAGCCACCTATTTCTTGCATTAAATATTACTCGAAAATAAGCCAGTTTTGAAAATAAGCCGGTCATGACAATGCCATTTAGGAAAAATGTTAAACGATTGAAGATTTCCTCGTCTTAAAATTTGACGAGTGAAAACTTTGACGATTTTTTTTACTGTGCAAAATAAAAAGTTATCTTCCTTTAATTCATTTAACCTTTACCGATTTCTGCATACGACATAGTACGAGTAACGATGTCATAGTACGAATTAAGTCTGTAGCTACTACTGAACGTATGTAAAATTACTAATAAAGGGTTGTTTATAAAGTTAGTTTTTTTTTACCAGTAAGCATGCTACGCTAGCTAAAATAATTTCATTGTGGAACCAGCTAACATGGTGATTTTTTTTCATGAAATTGTCAGAACAATAATTATCTCATCTAAACCTGTACAAGCTAACGATGTGTTTAAAGTTGTTATAATTAGATAAGTAAATGGATAAAAGGAAGTTTTTGTTTGTAAAGCATTTAACTAACGGGTAATACTGCCTGAAAATAAACCTGTTATTAGGGCTTGGTAGTAATTACATTTCAATGTATATATCTTTAAATATGTGTTAACTTTGTTTGATTAATTTATCAAGTGATTCAATTGCAAGCGGATATCTTATATATTATTTTTACTTTTTTAAAACAAGTTTATATTTCATGTAAATTTATATGCTGTATACAATGAAATTAACTTTTCGGGATCGGCATTCTCAAAATATAAAGTAGACGATTGATTACACCGTAGACTTAAAGAACGTACACCGGGAAACGCCAATGAATACAAAATTGACGAGAGAAAACTCTGACGACTAACGTCATTCGTCCTCCTCAAACTTTCCACTTTTACAGTATTTTTCTACACGCAAGATACTGAACAAAGTATTATTGTAATTATTTTATTATATTCATGACTTTTTTAATTTTAGATCGAACTCTATCGATTACACTTTATTCAATGATTGTATTGAAAATAAACCACGATTGTGCTCTCTTCTCTTACCATTTTTTTGCATTGATAATTAGCCGCAATTTTAAAATAAGCCGGTTTTGAAAATAAGCCCCCACTTTCTTACCAAAACTTAAAATAAGCCGCGGCTTATTTTCAAGATTTTAGGGTATATGAATATGCATGGGAAACATCATTAGATATATAAGCAAGAGTATCAAAAAAAAATTAAAATTTACCTTTATCTCCTGAACAAAATAAAATAATAAACTAGAATACATACAGGTATATAGTACATATACCAGTCTGTGGCTCGTGGCTCAAAACATAAGACACAATAATCAAGATGGTATATTATACCATAAAAACAATTTTATGTCACTTTGAAATTTTATGTCCGGCAATTATTTACTGCATTCACTGTCATCTCTTAAAATTTCAGTCAAGAAAGACTCACTTTCCTTGAAAAACTACCAGTTAATATCATGAAAAAGATAAGCGGGAAGCCTTTGAGAGATTATGAGAATATGCGAAGAATGAATTGTACCTTAGTATTAATAAAACTACAGAAGCATGTCTATTTAAAAGATGAAATTTTTTCTGAGAAAAAAAAATGTCTTACCCTCTTCTGGGGTGGCTAAATAGTCTCCATATATTCTTTTGATGAGCTAAAACAAAATAAGAAGAAATCTGTTATAGAACCTCTAGCCTTACACCTCTGTTGCCTCTTGAGTTTACCACTGTCAGATAATCATTTGATAAAACAGATATCTCACCTCATCTGCTCCATGCCCCTGAAGATCTTTGTAAAACTTCAAGGATATGCTGACCTGAAAAAATAGTTACAACTTGACATACCCAACTTATCAGGTTATTTTTATGCCACTCATGACTGTTACTGTAAATGAAATATTGTATTACCGTATAAGTGGAAATTTTAGCGAGACAATTTAGCGATTTCTCCTTAAAAAATGGTAATTTATTCTTAGCGAGAGGTAATTTTAGCGATTTTAAAATGCTTACTTAAGAAGCTATTACAAATAAAATGCAATTAATTTTTAGCGATATTTAATTTTAGCGATCTCAGGACCCTCGCTAATAATGCCAAAATTAAATCCTCGCTAAAAATTCTACTTATACGATATAGTTAGCATGTATGATACAATGTATTTGGTGGAATTTAAATTTTGAACAAGTTAGTGTTGATTTGATTTAGCGCAGTACTTGATGCAATTGTTTATTACATATTGTGCAAGAACTTTAGCATTGTACTTGAAATAGCCGAAGTTTCCTTCCGACAAAAAGCGCTTAAAAGAAAACACAGCCAAATGTAATATGTATATAGTATCAAAGATGGATTTTAGTTTGTCCGTCTATCTGTTTGTCTATCCTTAAAAAATTATAATACCTTTATCCATATCTTATCTTTTAAACAATTATTCTGAGAAAAAATTAACACTGTAAGACTTACCCTTATTTTACCTCTGTCATCATTTGGATTAGAGATATGATACAGAACACCATCAAAATCTGGAATAACGTAAAAAAAAATAATAATTTCATCAGTTTGTTTACATTTTGTGGAATAATGTTATTAACATAGACCATTGAGAATGTAATCGTTTCTAGTATTTTCTGATAAAACACAAAACTTGAGAACTCACCTGCAACTGTTATGTCAACATTATCTGGTTTATTGCTGTAAATAAAAAGACAGGAAGTAAGAGACAGAATAAAAATGTACATGGAAGTTTATAAATTATAGAACAAATAAAAAAAAAAAATATCTGATATTTTCAAAGCTTTATCAAATATACATATCACAGCAATGTGGTGTCTTCAATGTTCTCAATCAAGTGCAATAAATGAAATATTGCATGCATAAAACAATACTGATTTACCACTGCTCATGTCTATCGAAAATTTTATCTCTAATTATTATGTAAACATATCCGAGGTTTGTTGGGCTAATCATATTAAAGAAGTTGATAAATCAGCATTGTCTTTTTAAATTATGAAGGCTCTATGGATTTATCAGCTAAAATCATAAGAAATAATATAGGACCCGGTGTGCCAAACGCGGAAGTCCCAGCGCTCTGGGAAAATTGTTCTTACCCCGCTACTGCATTCTGGAATTTTAATGTCAGTGTTTCTTCTACAATTCTGTTGTTGATTTCCAGTAAAATCATTTTTAAACTATCAGAAAATCACCCCAAAAATTGTATTCTAAAACTTTCTTTCCTTGGGGTGTTACCATCCAACTTTTCACAGGAAGTTGATTCACGGAAAGATGTTATGATTGGTCAATATTCTTTTTTGCAATCAGTTCGTTCTTGTACTTATTCGGAGGCAGGAGGGGTCTAGCAGAAATTAAGGTTCTTCCTGCGACATCATTTAACTCTATAGTACAAAATATAAAAATGCATATAGATTAAAAAAAATTGAATGAAATGATTTGAAAACTTATGGTCGCCATTTTTTTTAATTCAATTTTGTTTCAAATGTCTCTTTTTGAAAAAAAAGTAAAAAAAAAAAGTAAATATAAATTAATATTTTGTTAAATTGATTTCAAAAACAAACATTGCCAAATCTACAATGTCAAGGAAGATAAAGGGTGCAAGATGTTTCGGGACCCCGACGTTTCGGGACCTAGGTACACGACGATTCGGGACTAGCGATAAGACGGTTCGGGACTTGCGGCAAGACGTTTCGGGACTTGGGTTAAATTTTTCGGGATTTCAATAAATACTGAAATAAATAACATATTTAGCTACAATTATTTATTTATTTCATTAATGTATCATTAGGTAAATATATGGACAGACATTAAACTTTATAAAATAATTTTTTATATAATTTAATCGCCATAGATACGTTTTCTCTTTAATAAAAAGAAATTTTTTCGGGATCTCAACAATATTATGGTGATATAGCATATTATTCTAAGTACACAGAGTGCGTAATATTTAATTTTTATGTATATATAAAATAAAAATTTTCATAAAGATATACTTTGATGGGTTTTTTTTCATAACAGACCAATAAGAATAAATCTTTACAATATTTGTATTGATTTCTTTTTATTTCTTATCATTTTTTTTTAATTAGTTATTTTTTCTTGTGTGTGTAGTAGGGGGGGTCCACAATTTAATCTTCTCAGGTTGATGATATATATTTTAAATTATTCAAGTGATCTCCAGCTACCGTCGAATATATCTTTAAAAATATGTCAGTGAATTGTTAAAACAACAACTAGGACCAGGTACACATATCCCATAGGGAAGTGTTACGTACATGTATAAAGACGCCGATTGAGAGAGAGAGAGAGAGAGAGAGAGAGAGAGAGAGAGAGAGAAGATTGTGTGGTTTCTATTGAAATTATTTTAAGAAAATAAAAATCTAAAAATATGCAAAAAAATATCGTTTGTTTATTGGTAAATGAAATAATTACAAATCAAACAATATTTATATAATAGTAATAATTTTCCCATCATCAAAAGTTCAATAAAATATAAAGGTTTTCAAAATGTTTTGATTGATTTTCTCTATTTTTTTCCCAAACAGTTTCAAATATTTTTTTTTCAAAAAGTTTTAGCATAGTATCTATTGTAAGATTCCTCCCTGGAAATGTTACGAAAACATTTTTAAAGTTTCCAAAACATTGTAAATAAACATATTTTACAAATGTTGCGAGAATATTTTCCCTACATGTAGATTTTTTAAAAAATACCATACTTTTAAAAAAAGAATATTAAATGGTATAAACAACATGATTACGTTTGATATCGTTTGAAATAATGTCTTTAAAAATATTCTAAATTTCATCATAGCTTTATCTATTTAATGTGGCTAGGTGGAAATTTAATAAAAAATAAAATTTAAGTTGACCTGTAATAAAACGTGAAAGTCATTTTTTTTTAAATCTGGAATGTCTTTTAAACACTTTTACAACGTTCATGTAAAATGAAAAATTTAATATTTGCAAATTAAATAATATTTAGTATTTATTTACAGTAAAATTTAAACAGTGTGTCATGTACCTAATTATGTAACATCACATAATATAACGCACTGGTTGTTTTAATATAATTAAGTTTCATTGAGATTTGTAAGTCTGTGTATACACAGTAAAAAACAACTACCCGTAAAACGTAAAGTTTTTACTGCACATGTGCTAGTTTGAGCCTTTGTTAATTCTGTAGACAAATATGAAATCAAACACTTAAAATTGTTATTAAAATGGAGAGAAAGTCTTGGAAGTAAAAACACGTCCGTGGTCTTCGCACAGCAGTTACGACTGTCTCCCGTTTTTAATTAATGACAAACTCTCGTATCAAACACTATAAATAGGTTAAAGCAATCAATACATAGCCTAATTCTAAAATATATTTTTTGAATTAAATTTGGCAAACCAAATACTTTATAAAGGTAATATATCATGTATATGAAATGCAAACAATAAGAAATGTAAAGACAACATTGCACACAGTTGATTTTCTCGGCAGGCGTGCTCCATGCCGCATGCAAACTAATATTCCAATCTCTGCTTCTTAATTAAATGATTATTTGTGTATAAAACTGAGAAATTATATATATATAAACATAAAAACAAAAGTAAACAAGTTTTATTTCATTTCCTTAACAAAATATATACTAATTGCCTAGCATGTGTTATTACAAGTCATGAAACGTGTTAACCCAAGTCCCGAGAACGTGTAACATTGTAGGTAACAAAATGGTTGAGATGTCATGCCTTTGAAGAGCGGTCCAAACAGCCGTAGTATTAAAGGATATACCTAATGCATGGCCTCATACAAAAAAAATTAAATCGAGTTAACTTTATCAATTATTTAATCGATACTTTACGCAAGAAAGATTGTGATTGGACGATTTGTTTTGTGGTTCAAATAGTAGCGGGTGTTGAGTAGTCATGCAGGCATAGTATAACACCAGATTGTTTATATTTTACAAACGTTTTGAAAGGAAAGATGCCAAAGGTATTGTTTTGTTGTATGTAATGGAAAAAAGTGATATTGAATATAATTTCTTAGTATTTTTTGGTGAAAATTGGGGATCGATGTAAAGTAAAAAGTTTGTTCATTATGTTTGGTTTTTCATCATTAATTTGCAACTAATCGTGATTATTATATTATCAGATGGAGGGCAGATTGTCACTTTTGGCGATGTACGATGATATTATGAGGAAGTCCAGAGTGTTACAGGCAGGAGATGAAACAGGTGAACCACCCTCACCCTTCCAAAATGTTACCCTTTGTTTGAATGTTAAATGTCACATGATAATTGTCATCATTAGTGAATGATTGATTTAACTCATATTATATAAAATAATATTTCTTTTGATGATTTTGGCGAATTAAGAGACAAAAATGTTTTCAACAGCTTTCTTTTTATGCTTGAATTTGAAGACCGGACATATTAAACGAATACTACATGAACCCACAGGGGCATCTTATCTACTCTGTTCTCTACTTCACATATAAAAATACACAAGGGAAGATTTTTATATGTGAAGTAGAGAACAGAGTGGATAAGATGCCCCTGTGATGAACCCAAACCGCAGTCCGGGTTCTGTTCCTGGGTTCATTCAGGGTCCGCTTTCAGAAATTTTGAGATCGCTCTGGGTGCGCCTTGGATGTGCTTTGGGTTCACTCAGGGTCAGCTATGGGTCTGCTAGAACAATTCCGACATTCGCTTTTAAGCGGACCCCGCTTTAATCTTGACATCAGTAAGCCCCGCCTTTTGTATATTCCAACACAAAAGTTGAATTGTAGAATCAATCTTTGTTATTTTTGTGGCAATCAATACATGTAAATTGAAAGTGACATTATGGAGAAGTTTGATAATTTTTCCAGCATTCCATTGTACATTTGAGGTACAATTATTTATTTGTCTGTTATCTAGACCTGGCATATAGACTTATTAACTTATTATCATATTAATTATTTTTATCAGAATTTCGAAGATTTGTTCAGAACCAAGAACAGTGCAGATACAAATGGCAAGGTTTAGAAGTAGAGGTCCAACATCTTCAGGAAAGAATTCGTCAGCTAGAGTCGGAAAACAGTGGGCTTACTCTCAAACTCAAGCATGCTAGAGGGGTGATTGAGGAAGAATTGGAAAAAGCAAGGGTTTTAGAACAAGAAAGAGATGAACAGGTATTACAAAGGGGGTGAAACTTGAGGCATGTTTAACTTTTAGATAACTGTGCAACTCCAATGGTAGTCCATATATATTTTAAACATAGCCAAAAACAAAAACCAACCTAGATCAAGAATTAAGAGAGACACTTGCCCCTAGGTTGTGTCATAATGAAAAATATTACTTTATATATATATATTATCTCTCTTGGGGATTTTGTCTCAGGCCAAAAAAAAAAAGTCTTGTTTCCTGCTACCCGACCGACCCTATTTTTGGGGGCCGACCCTAAAGTTTTTTTTCGATTAAGAAAAAAAAAACCGAAATTTATCCGGAATTTGTCGTTCTGTTACCGTTTTCAGTACCCGTGTTATAAATTTATACAAAACAAAATGGCGGCGGCCATTGGAAGAAGCCAGGCTCATGAGCAGTGTGCGAAATTAACGGTGGACCGGTAGACAATGCTCTATCAGAAAATTTGTCGGTCTATACCGATCGAAATATTAATAGACCGACTTATCTATAGGAATTCTTGAGTTATAGTAACGTGGTTCCCTGCTTGTCTTAATGTAAACAAACCATCATTAGTGAAAGGATTTAACTCATATTATATAAATAAAATGTTTGTATTTGATGATTTTCACCCCTTAGTTATAATAGTTTGTTCCACGATGTATGCAGAAATAATTCGAATCGGAATATTTTATTTTTAACATGAGGGGAGGTTAAGTTGTGATTACTTAATGGCCGCACGACACAAGAGAGAAACAGTGCATTAAGAAACATGTCCTTCTTGGGACCGTTTAAAGTATGTTGAGGGTGCACGCCCAAAAATTATATATTATATAGCCATCCTTAAAAAATTTTTTTCATAAAAATATACGCCCTCATCATTTTAGGTGTGGGTAGGTAGGTAGGCTTATTTTTTTTTTTTGTGGAGACAAAAAGTCAGAATTAAATTTTGTTATGCTGAGTCTGAGGATGAAGTGAGCATTTTTGATTAACCATTTTCTGCTGTCTCGCATTTGTAGATGTCTGTAGAGAATTTTCATGTAGTGAAGATATTATATTTATTCAAATCATAATTAAATCATAATTATAGGGAAAGCATCTTTAGGTTTAGTAGATTCAAGTAAGTTTAAATTAAGGCCTCAGAAACGAACTTGGAGTCAATTGAGATTGAAAGAGAATATAATTCAATTTTGTATGAAAAGTTGATTCATGTATTATTTATTTTAATTTCAATATTTTAGCATTATAAAATGTAGTATTCTAAATTTTCCATAGGAAGTTGCTGCGGTCTATAGAAAATGAAATGTCTATGGACCGAAAGTCTATAGGACTTTGAAGTTAGTTTCACACACTGCATGAGTCATGTTCTCTCTGTTATTTTGGTACGGTGCCGCCACAACGACATAAAAACAAGCCAGGGGTGTGCAATTAGCATACTATGGGCTACCACTTTTTGGGGTCGGGCATTATTTTCAAATAAGAAAACATCAGAGGTAAAAGCCCGAAATTTTATTTATTTAGGGCTAGTGAAAATTATAAAAAACTACACACGCATTACATGAAAAGCACAACCTGTATTTTCAATCGTTTATGCTATCAAATTCCCAACCAATGAAAAATTTTCTGACAACATGCTCCTACTCTCAATAAATCTCCATAATGTATATCTGTTTTGCAGCACTGCCTGACTTATTTACTTAAAAATCGTTTTTTCCTAATCTTTCAAATTTCCTCTATTCTTTTGTTTATTGTAAATACATGCAGATATCTCATTAAATTATATATGGCCACTCAATCAAAAAAAAGTGTTTTATGACTCAATAAAATATAAAAATAGTGTATTTAATGATTTAAAATAAAATTTGTTTTAATTTCATTCTAAATGAGCTAGTGCAATGCAGAAAAATCATATCAAAGTAATAATTTATTTGAATTCATTTTAATCTTCTTTCATTTTAATTTATACATGATTTAATTTCATAGTGAGACTTAAACCTTTAATTTTAAAAAGAATGACTCCAGTACCCTGACTTTTTCAACAATTAATTTCTTTTCAACAAATAGTTTTTGTTTTTTTTTTTTGCCCCTATATTTGGGCTAGTAACTTTTAACTTGGGGCTAGTAACACAAAACAAGCCCGTGGGCTAGTTATTGATTTTTTAATTGCACACCCCTGCAAGCGTAAAAACAAGTAAGTACTACCACTTTTAATGATTCCAACACAAAAGTATCATGAAAAGAATAAATGCACTTGTTTTGTTGGAAAATCCTCTATAGACAGTGCGTATATACAGAAGTTTGATAAAATTAACCTGCTCAGAAATCAAAAACAGTGTAATTTGACAAATTTATTTTCTGTAACACAAATGGCTTGGCTGAGTTTTTAAAGGAATGCTTGTTTGGTTATCTATTTGACAAATGCCTTCATGTTCCATAACTGAAAAAAAAATATTGAGAAAACTAAAGGAGCTTTCTACACAGTGTACTGTGTATTATAAAATAACACTTGAGTTGTTGTGCATCAAGTTTAATTGAAATTTAATTGTAAAAGATTATATTGAGTGACTTGTGATAAGTTTATATTAATCATGTATTCAGTTCATGTCCAAAAAATGCCGTTGGAAAAAATATAATAAAAAATAAAAATATAATAATTTTCCTACCTACCTACCCTATTTTTTTTAGGCTGGTAGCAGGAAACAAGACTATTATTTTTTTTGGCCTCATTAGTTTCAAATATATATCTACATCTTTCAGGAGCGTCAGATTGGACTGATACGAGAACTTCTGAATGACCGCAATGGACGGAAAGACCTGAATGAGCAAGAAAGAGAAAGGCTTTTCATGCTGAGTACGACTCATAGGTCACATCTAGAGGGTTCCCCATCTAAAAGGTAGGTTAAATGGCTCATAGGTCACATCTAAAGCCATCTAAAAGGTAGAAATCAGGAGAACCAATGGTTTACAGGAATTCATTCCCACAGGAGCTTGAAATTTACTTTCACAGCTGATTTACCATAACAATTATAAAATATTAGGGGGTTATGTAATATTTTCCCTACACCAATTGGAACCACCATTCCCTGCTTTAACAACCAAAGGAGAACAGTTTATTGTTTTTATTTATATCTGTATAGATATACAAACACTTGTCACAAAATAATGCCCTCTTGTTTTGATTTTATGTATAGGAAATCAGAAACTTCTCACAGGGAAAGGAAACGGTAAACATTGTTGTCTGCCTGGCATGCCTCTCAAGTCTGGAAATGTTGAAGAATGCATTTTTAAACTGCTTGTAGATGTACCTTTATTTTCAGCAAAATAAATAGAGACTGTAATGCTTTAATTTACCAGGTCAGTGACTTGGTGCTTTTTTTCTTTAATAAGAAAATTCATTTCTTCATTAATTAGTATTATACCCATGCTTTCTAACAAGTGAAAGCTTGTATGAACTTTTTACTGCGATATAAAGATAATGAGCATGAAGAGGCTTTTTTCCCTCGGATAATTTTTTATTTATGTGTGAGGCAGACAGTATGCATGGATTTTGAGTAAAACTTTTGCTTCACTTCTAGAACAACCTAGTCCAATTCCATAAAAACATGTAAACTTCAGGTTAATACTTAAATGACACACTGCATGTATAAACAAAGCTGATGCTTTTCTTTAGACCTAAAAAATAGTTTGTGCAGAAAAGTAGAATTTTACAGAGTTTGAAATTTTAAGGATACACCAAAGGTTTCCAAAGGGCAAAATTTAATTTGTTTAATTCTTTCATTATCAAAGATAACATATTAAAAGTATATATATCATTTGAAAGCTTGTTAAATTTACTATTTAATGATTCTAATATACATGTATAAACTTGCATTTTTATCTTATTAAAACATTATTAATATTTCAATGTAAATATTAGTGCATTCATATTTTATAAATCAACTTTTTGTATTCCACCTCTCGAAGTCAAAATTTTGCCTCAATGTAGATTAAAGATTGAACTTTAAAACCGTGTCTCAGATTTTTGATAAATCTTCTTATTCAAAAGTTACATCCGTTTGTCTTTCAATGTAACCAGTTTATTAGCCCATTTCTACATTTCCCCCAATAATTCGAGAACTGAGCAAGGTATCAAAAACGTTTCAGTTTGAACACACATTTGAGATGAAATGGTTTTCAGAGAAATTGGTCAATAAATAAGTAGGGATGGGTATCGCCAAAAATTTCGTTTATATGTATTTTTGATAAAATCAATAAAATATTTTTGCAAGCAATTTTTACAATGATTTTAAACAAATGGTGTTTTTTCTTAAAAATATGCTAGAAAAACAAAATTTCACTTTTTATGCACATAAAATTAATCATGTTTGGAAGGTGAGATGCTGTTCTTTTCACCTTTTACAACATTTTTTAATCTTTCTGTAAGAAAGATTGAACAAAAAATGAATAATTTCTTGACTTTAAAATATGTACCTAAATATCTGGTATTTAGGTCTCCGTATCACGATACGTATCACACAACAAAAAATCGCGATATACCGGTATACCGATAAAATCGCACATCCCTATAAATAAGGGAGCTGAATCCTTTGAAATAATACCACCAACTGTCTGATCTTATTTTACAGTAGAGAGCAAAAACCCATTACACAACAAAGTCTGCCAAAGCTAGAAATATATGACACCTTGGAGATTCAGCTTTGGATACCTGTCACTAATCCATATTTCCTTTGCATATTCACAAGAATGGGAGGTTCTATTCTTTATTTAGGTCTTTTAATGAAGTAAAAGAGGTTCAATTCTGAATCAGAAAGATTTTTGGCACAAATGAACATGGTAAGAATTACATTGTATATTTTAGGTCATTAGAAAAAAAATATGTTTGTTTCTCCTTCCCTGAAAAAATATAGGGCTGTAGTTTAATTACTGATTTGTGTTTTTGGTTTTGAAAAAAATTTTTTTGCTTCTTTAATCAAAACGTATATAGAAGTAACATTAATGACAAATGAAATAGTGTTTTCAAGCATTACTGTGACTTAACTTATAATAGGAAGGTGACCCAAACTTCTTTCTGTCTTGAAAAGCTTGCAAAGTTGGAGGCTATAATTCCCTGGTTGAAATCTTGCACATTATGGGACAAAAGCATTGAAAAAAAATATTTAGGGTCGGCACTATAAAAAGGTCATGCCAAAGAAAGCGGAAACAAACATACTTTTTTTCTAGGCCTTATTCATTATGATGTGCTTTAAAGTTTTACAAGGTAAGATTTAACTTTACTAGTAGACTCTTGATACTGATAATGGCAGACCTATTTTCTCTTACACAGGTTGCGTACCATCAATGAGTCGGCTCACTCCATGTTGTCAGATGACGAGTATGACAAGACAGAAGACGACCTACATACCAGTCGTCTCAGGAGTGGCCGCAAGTTCAAACGACCCTCGGCCCCACCCCTGGAGGAGGAATTTCCCAAGAAAAGGAAAAGTGGGGATGAGGTATCCACAGATTTCATGTTCAACTGAACATATATCTGACATAGATAGTTAGGACTACTCTGGGCTCTAAAAAAATGAAATTATGTTAACGTTTTATTTTTAAAATTTGCAGAAAGACAGTTCTATCATTACCACGACAACGGTGACCATTGGTGCCGACGGAGCACCTGTTGCCGCGGAAACAGAAGTCAAGACTGTGAAAACTCTTAACAAGAGCTTCAGTGAGCCAGCCCTTGACAAACACATGGTTGCCCCGGACAGAGATGCAGGTTGGTGTAAATCATTTAAATGGAGTTTACAGGCAAAAGTTTTTGATGATTTGAAACATGTATACACAATGTCTGTAGAAAGGAAACCTAATATTATATCATTTACATTTAGTCATGTTAGTTAGGTCCATTCTACCCAAAACAGAACCTTACTTAGATTTTAAGGTCAATAAATATTGGTCACGTTAAATACTGATCTTCATGTTCTTATAGACAGTGAACCAGAATCAGAGGAATCGTACTATGGCACACCCAGGAATAACAACAACAGGAGGAAGTCCAGGGGAATTCTCAAAACTACACCATCTGAGTATGTATAACACAAGGGGAATTCTCAAAACTATATCATCGTTAGTATATATAACAAGTGAAAATCATTAACTACTAGATCTAGAACAATATGTGAGTATATTTATTGGTAAAAATGAAATTTTCAGAAAAATCATCGACAATCATTTGAAAGTCTCCACTGTAAACTCTTGATGAGGATTTCGTTTATTATCTTGCATACAACATACTTTTAAGTAAAACTAGTTATTAAAACATTGAAATGTTTGATGAGGTAGGTTATATATTTGAAAAATTATTTTCATATAGCAATTTCACCATCCTATTTTTACAGAACACCACAGTTACGGAAGGCCAACTCTGCCAGTAAAGGCTTGAACCGAGTTCATGTTTTCATGTCCAAGACAGTCATCAAACCTGAAAGCTGTGTTCCCGTAAGTTTTATTACCTACTGTCCTTTTTTCTGGATCCAGTTTACACCAGTCTCAGTCATTCTGTAAATATACTGTGTGTGTACTTAAAAAAGCAGGCTTCAGATTTTAGCGGCTTTGGTGCCGACAACAATGCGCTAAATTATGAAGTACCAAGATGGCAAAAGCCAGAAGGATGGATATTAATATTAAGGCTACCTAAAATTGAAATTCTGGTTCTCAGGCCCGCGCATGCGTTTTGAGGTAGCCGCATTGCTAATTTTATTGTATTTTTTTATAAAACAAAAAAAAATGGTATTGCGGAAACCAATCAGGAAAAAAAAGTTTTGTCCTCATTCTTTGGTAGTTTATTATTCAAATATCACTTTGGGTAGCCATTTTCAAAGAGATTTTGTCTACTTCGTTTGAAAATACATTCGAAGACATTGCCTGCGATATTCACCTGCTGATAAACAATTGATAAAGCAAACGTTTTGATCAGACATGGAAGGTATATCTGTGATTAAAAAAAATTATCTTTATTTTAAGGAAAATTCGAAAATTAAAAAAAATACCTTTATTGCCAATATAATGATAAATATAATGCCTCCCTCCTGCATCAGTTTTGGAGAAAATTGGCCTGAGAACCAGAGAATTAAATTTAGATAGCAGGGCTCTCACACCACTTTTTGGGACTGGGGCCGGGGCCGTTCAAATTGGGAAAATTATCGTCATTTTGGGAAAAGTTGGATAACACAAATTCATTTAAAAAAATCCTCAAATTTTGCTTTTCTAGCATTTTATCATCAATGCTAAATCTGGTTTGAACAAACAGTTAAACAGAACAAACATGGGTACGTAGGCTATTTATGAAAGTACATTAGCTTTGTCATTACTATCTTTGAGTGTTGATATTGCGGTTATATGTCTTACTGCGTGACAGTCGCTAGTCACATTATAGTCCTGAATTTCCTCGATCACATGGGCAACTTTGCTTACCAATACAGCGCGAGACTGAACATGCCGAAGCGCGGGTATGTTTCTAAGTGCAGCTTACTAATGTTTAAATGAAATGTCTATTTTGGAACCAAAATGCTGGTTTTTGTCGAAACTACATAACAAGATACTCTGCACTCATAGTTGTATGTATACATTTTTGTAAAAACAATAACCTGGTTCCCCGAACCAGTTTACGAATGCATTTGGCGCGAACTAATAAAATAGTAGTACAGTTTCACTTTCATTTGCAAATGTGTTTTGTTTGGGTTTTTTTTTTTTGCGATTAGGTTTGATGGACTTTTATTTTTTAATTAATATTTTACTCTGGATGGAAATTGGGAGATTTACACCTTTCTTTTGGGAAAAAAGGTACCTTTTTTGCATTGAACGGGGGAAAAAATTGGCCCCAATTTTAGAGAATCGAGAGCCCTGGATAGCCTAAAAGGGTTAATTTGAAATTGTGGGAGAATAATGGCAGTTTTTGTTATGTTTTGTCATTTATTTTGCAGTGTGGAAAAAGAATCAGATTTGGTAAACTGGCAATGAAATGTAAAGGTAAGATTAAAGAAAATTCCATCAGGATTAGTACATGTATTTAAAATATCAACTTATTTTTAAGTTTGAAGTTGTTATAAATTAAAAATAATGAATAATTAACATGAATGAAATGGGAGAGGCCTGCAGGGTCAACTTATTTACATAAAGGGAAGGAGAAGAGAAGATCTTCTAGGGAGGAATCAGATTATGTCTCAAAATATAATATCAATGTTTAGATTATTTTGAAATAAATTGCGAATGTTGAGCTAGTTAACAATGGTAATCATGAATCTAGCAGTTGTAGATAATTTTTTTTACAATTTACATCTAGAATTTAGCAGTTGTAGATATTTAAATGGTTTTACAATTTACATCTAGAATCCAGCAGTGGTAGATAATTGTTTTACAATTTACATCTAAAATTTAGCAGTTGTAGATAAATGATTTTCAGTGTCTAGCATCTGTTGTAGATTGTCGCTCCACCTGCCACCCAGACTGTAAGGATAATCTCCCCTTGCCGTGTATACCCCTGGCCCCTGGTACCCCCGGCGGCCACAAACTTATCGGGGTGAGTTCCTCCAATACGTGGACTCTAAGACTTCATAATTATTAACTCCATGCAGTCTAACTGTCTAACATATAGTATGATTTGATAAATATCATCCTCTGGGTAGCTTTGACATCAGAAACCATGCATGAGGAAGAACTGTAAGATTTTTGTCAAAAAAAGAGTGTTTTCTCTGAGAGGGTATAATTTCAGGAATTAAAAAGTTTATTCCAATTTGATAATGTGTTAACCCAGTTGTCTTTTATCCTTTGTCAGGGAATCATTAGTGATTATGCCCCCTTGGAGAGACCCATGATTCCAGCTCTTGTGGTAAGTCTAGTCAAGTTATCAAGGTTTCTTACTGTATACAGGGAAATTTTCGCACATGTTTTATATTCGCCCTATGCACAAGTGGGCAAATTTAAAAAAGGAGCGAATTCTAAGAACAATATATAATTTCTTTAAGAAAACTGTGAATGGGCCAATTTAAAATGGGCCAAAACCGTTTGCAAGTCTGAAAGGGCGAAAATAACACGATGCGAAAATAATCCTCTATACAGTATCTCTGAAATTCTATGCAAGACGTTTACATCTATTAAAATTTTTTGAAAACTACGTGTGTCATATTCATATTGTAGGTGCATTGTGTGAATGAAGTAGAGACTAGAGGACTCAGTGAAGTGGGAATCTACCGAGTTCCTGGGTGGGTATTGCTCAGTTTGAGGGGAAAGAATAGTGAAATTTTTAAAACTGTCTATCCCGACTGTTTTTGTTTAGTAATAAAGTAAGCAATATGTACATGTAATTGAAGTACTCTAAGTGTATAAAATTGTGTGAAATGAAAATACAGTAAAACTTGTTTAGTACAAACACAGATATTGAGAATTCACAGATATAGTCAAGTACTTTCCCAGTGACTCTCTTATAATGAGTTTTATGTACCTCTGTCTTAAAGGTCTGACTCCCAGGTCAAAGATCTGAAGAAGGAATTCATGAAGGGAAAAGGTGTGCCAAATTTGGTAAGTGAATAAATCCCACTGAAGGCTTTGTTACTTTTTTTTCATATATATAACACACTAGGGGAGGATTAGTTGAGGGTGATATATTGATATTTTTTTTGTATAACGCTCTGGGGTAGATTAAGTAGAGGGTGAGATATTGATAATTTCTTGTGCTATTTCAGTCCCACATTGATGACATCCATGTGGTTTGTGGCTGTCTGAAAGATTTCCTGCGAGGAATGAAGGAACCTTTGGTCACGTTTGGACTGTGGAAGGACTTTGTTAGTGCTGCTGGTAAATACATAATTTTATCATTGAAGATGCACAATTATAAATATTAAAACTGATAGTAAATAAATAGTTTTGAGGGTATTGAAGATGCATGCACAATTATAAATATTAAAACTGATTGTTTTTAATGGACTTTTTTCTGTGCCTTACAGAGAACAGGGACCAAGCCCTGGGTCTGTCAGAGGTCTATCAGGCCATTAGTCAGCTCCCTCAGGCCAATAAAGACACCTTAGCCTTCCTCATCCTTCATCTGCTGAGGTACAGTCATGGGGAAATCACAATTTATATTTTATATATAAGGAGGATTTATCTTAGGAATTGCATGTATGTGCTGTGGTCATTAAGCTCCATTATTTTTATATTCCAGGGTTGGAGATATTCCTGACTGTAAGATGCCTCTCAGTAACCTGGCCAAGGTGTTTGGGCCGACAATCGTAGGCTACTCCGTACCGGACCCCGAACCTCTACAGATGATCAGCGAGACCAAGTACCAGGCCATGGTAGCTAATCCTCTCAGTCTAATACTCTCCTTGTGTCCTGTGTATTTGAAAGCAAAGATTATTTTTTTGAAGAGTAACTCTTACTAACGGGAAAAAAAATATCTGTATTTACATTTATTATTTGCTTTGACGAGGTAAAGTTTTACTGAAACATTAGTGAGCTGAAAAGACTTTATAAGAGAAGATTAAACTTTTCTTGCTTGTCATGTATAACGTTTATTTCTGTATGTTTGGTGTCTGTTTTCAGGTAATGGAGAAGCTGTTTCAGATCCCCGTGGATTACTGGGAGTCGTATCTGAATGTGGACGACGAGAACATCTACCCCAACCAGTACAACACACCACAGACACCAGAGGGATCAAGTGAGTCTAACACCCCCCCCCCCACACACACACACACACAATCACACACACCCTCACAGACACCAGAGGGATCAAGTGAGTCGCAAGAAGTCAGAACTGAAACTCTTCAGCCTGCATATTCAAAAACATTTTTTTTTTCAGCACAGGCCTGATAAAATTTAGAAAGACTCTTTTTTTTTCTTGATGCTTTCGAGTGTAGTCCACAACAATCAATTAACATGATTAAAGTTTAAAAAAGAAAACCTTTTCTTTTCTTTTGGAATCTAGTGCCCCACAGCCGACTTGGCCCACTTCATACACCAGGGTCACATGACTTTAGAAGCAAGACATGGGGAAAGAACTCCTTTACTCCCAAGTAAGTACCATAAGAGGGGATGGACTCAGTGTTTCCGACTAAATTTATAAATCTTCAAGGATTAAGATTTAGCAAACGCAGAATCTTACGTTAAAACTTTTTTTGCAAAAAAAAAAACTTTTTTGGTGATTTATCCTATGACAATTGTTTTTCATTGATTTAAGTTGAATTTTGTATAGAGTATATGCATATTATAAATTAAAAAAGCTATTTATGTATGTATTTAGCAGAATAAAAAGCAATATATGTGTAATGTAAACATACTTCTTTCCATGGGGTCAAAGATTGGCAGAATCCAATTGGCCATCAGAAAATGACATCACTTTTTTGTATTATCCTTACCTTTCCTTTGGTTGTTAATGAATTTTAAGTACGCTGTGACAAGTATACTTGGAAAATACATCATGTAAATAAATCCCAGGTGGGGAAGAAGTATGTAAATAGTATTAAAAAAATAACAAAGCAAGGCAAGCTCAAATATACACACTAGTGTGATAATTAGTCTCACCAACATTATATCATACACTCCATTATCTAACAGAGCGTGTGTCATCACAAATCATGGTGTCATCTTCTGCTGTCTCTCATTCTTGGTTATTGTGTATCAGTTTACTCAAACTACTGCCAGTGTTCAAACTGAATATGTTATGTGTTGGGAATTCTGTTCACTCTTGTTTACTTTTATAAATCCGATGCCTTTCAACATCATGCTTAAGATATCGGTCTTGGTAATCTTTTTGTTAGACTTCAGTTTGTATACTGTGTCATTTGTGGAAGTGATGATGAAAATTAAATCCAAGTGTGATTTTTTATCCCTTGAAATGTTTATATTTGAGAAAAATACATGAGTGTTCAGTGTTAAAAGAATACAGGGTCTCATCTCTTTGGCTGAATACAGTCCATATTTTTTTTTTGCAGTTGAAAATGTTGATGTTTTCTTATAATTTAATTCTGAATGTAACGCTCTATTTGATTGGATAAAAAATTACTTTATATCTTATAAAATGGGTTGCCTACGTCACAATGACTTGCGTCAAAAATGTATTAATCCGCCTGACATTACATTCAAATTTTGTACAAACTGAAGTCATTTTGTTAGAATATTCATCTATTTTTCTTACATCAAATGAATGAAAATTAAAATATAAGCAATGAATTTAATAGCTACCCATTTTATATGGTATAAACTGGGTTGGAACAGTTTACGCTTTTTTATAAACCGCTTCGCAATTTATAAAGCGTAAACTGCCCCTACCCAGTTTATACTGTATAAAATGGGTAGCTATTAAATTCATTTCTTAAATAAAATCTTGGTTTCACAATGAGGCACCCCTCAATGAAAGCTTGATAACTTCTCTCCCAGTGATTTAATTCTTAAGGTGGCATGCCAGATTCGTTTTCCTGCAAAAATGCATAATCTGCAATTTTCTGTATGGAATATTTTCCTTTTGGTGGTATAGGTTGATTTTGATTGGCTTCTTCTTTTTAGTGAAGATTTCAAAAAGTTCAATATATCTGCTCCTTACTTTTGCTAGGACTTGAAATATTCTTTATGCCTGATCAGCATATGTTAAGATTTCAGAATTATCAAGCTTGTTTATGACATGATGTGTTTTTATCTAAAGGTTTCACATAGTAACAATATGTTTATATTATTTATATAGCTAGCATGGCTTGAGAACTGTATATATATATATATATACATGTATTTTTTGTATAGACTATAATATTATCATTGCATATCCATGCTTGGCAGCTGTATATTGTATCCTGATGTTATCTAATGCCATACTACTAGTATACACTGTATATACACTTACTCAGTTATTCAAAAGTCTTGGTTGAGGGAGTATATTATCCTATATATATCTGTGTTGACTGCATCTCTGCTGCTTTGCCTGGGAGCTGTTTTCTGTTGGTGGTTGTGTTTCGTTTCGTGTGTCTCCTGTATGGTCAGTACTGTGGCCTTTGACCTCTGGTATCTTTGTAGTAAGGGCAAGAAAGGTCGGCTTCTCCCTCCTCTAGTTCCCATGCCACGGTCGGTCAGTGAGTCCAAGATTTAAATTAAAAGGTATACCATATGAAAGAAAGATTTTAGAGGGTTAAATAAATAATGTTACAGTAATTTGAATAAATTGTGGAGGACTTAGTAACTACATTGTATACATATATATATACATGCACATACATACAGATGAGGAAAGAGCTTGGCCTATGCAATTGAAGTACTGTAAATGTATCGGTGACAAGTATTATTAGGGCCCCGCAAGGATTTGCGGGTGCCCTATAGTAATCACTCTGTCTGTCTGTCTGTCTGTCCGTCTGTCTGTCCGTTTGTCATTCTTCTACAAATTTTCACAAATTTGTGAACACAAAAATTTCCACAAATTTTCTGTTTTTTCCTAATACTGTATAGGGGGAAAATAACTCGCGGTGTTAATATTCGCTATATTCACGGTGTTAACAAATCCGTGAATTCAAGAAACCGTGAATAAATTTTCAATAATCCCCATGTTTTATTTAGAAATTTGAGAATAGACTACGATAGATTTAAATAGGTGTACGTGCAGTCCATGGTCATTTCAGTAATTGCGAGTAGTACTGTCATTCAATTAATTTTAATTATCACGCTTTACTTTAATTCAAATCGGCAAATAATAATTTGTGTTTGTTCAAAAGCTGTTTTAATAGCTAACGCTACATGTTTCATCAATCAAAACACCAAAATCGGACCATAGGTTTTGATTACCCGTGCGTATCTAATGTTACCACGTGTATTTGTTACCTGTATTCTCCTGCATATTAGTTCATGTAGTTTTTATCGACATTTAGGTTTTAAACAATCATTCAAATAAATATCGAACTTACTGACGAAGGAAGTGTGGAAGGATATTATTTCTTAGAACTACATAAAAAGTTTTATTTCCGTCCAGTGGTTTTTCGCCGCGTTGTATTGAAGATCTCGGGTGCACATGTACTCATTGTAATAGCATATAGGAAAGTCATTTAACCTTTAGCGACTATTAATAACTGCACTTGTGTTAATTATTTATAAAATCTAACAAATTTAAAATAACTTACCCTGTTGTTCGTGAAATAAAGACATAACACTGATTAATGTCGTTTACATGTAGCTATGGAATGAATAAAATGGAGACAAGGGAAGTAACTTTTATAACATACCAAATTCCGCGAATTCAAGAAACCGCGATCGTGTCAGATGAGAGAAAAACGTGAAAATTACAACCCGTGAAATTAATCCCCTATACAGTAGCTTTTTTTATGGTAGTCCAATTAAGTTCAAATTTGGTATGGTAGTTCAGTAGGCAAAAAGACATATTTTGATGCTAAGTTTGTTTCTCTATGTCCTCTGGTTTGGAGCTGGGGTGGTGGGGTAGATTCCTTAACTTTATATAAGAATGAATTGGTAAAGAGAGATAACTTCTGAAAGTGTTCCCATTGTAAACTGAATACTGCAATGAATGAGTCCCTTGGGATTAATTAGCTTTCCTCCTGAAGAAAATCCAAAGCATTATCTTTATCTGTCACATTGAGATTAATTACCACCTCTGTCTGCAAATGAAGTTTGTTTTGAAGTTAAGTCCATTTAAGTGGATTGAAGTATTAATGTTTTTACTGTTTTTTTGTTGAAATACCCTACACAATGAGTTCTGATTTCATTGAATTCTTAAAACAAGAAATAGATTAAAGAAAATATATATATATTTTTTATTTATTTTTTTTTCTTGCATCATGTAAATTCAAGAATATTATTAATTTTTAAGGTAGTAGGATAAAAACCTCATTCTATCATTACTTAAAAAGTTCTTATTATAAACTCAGAAGAAAATGATAAGAGAGAAGTACAATTAATCCCTTGGGATTAATTATCTAGTCTGCTGCAGAAAATTTAGAAGGCTTATCTTTATCTGTCTCTTTAAGATTAATGAAAACCTTAGTCTGCAACTGCTGTTTGTTTTGAAGTTAAGGTCAAGCCTTCATGATGTGTAACTATTTGCATAAAGCAGCATTCATTGAAGGCTGGCATTTTATGTAACACAGGCTTCATTATTGTTTAGATATACATTCAGTGTTGAGTTGTTCTTTACTGCCTTATGTAAATACAATTGCTGTTTCTTATTTGTCATATATTTTTGAATCATTCCATAAGCTGCACCCTTATAATTCTACCCATAGCGGGGCCCTTGCTGACTGGTCAGTTTTCTAGTTTCCTAAGTCACTTGTAACACGAGCTTTGATTGGTTACAGAGTCAGGTGTAAATTTCAGTGCACCTGACTTCAGCCGGGGGTTAATAAAACGTGACGACACAATGCATACTTTTTAGCTCACCTGAGCCAAAGGCTCAAGTGAGATTTTCTGATCAAAATTTGTCCGTTGTCTGTCGTTGTCGTCGTCGTCGTTGTCGTGGTTGGCGTTGTCGTTGCTGTAAACTTTTCACATTTTCATCTTCTTCTCAAGAATCACTCGGCCAATTTCAACCAAACTTGCTACAAAGTATCCTTGGGTAAGGATTCAAGTTTGTTCAAATGAAGGGCCACGCCTTTTTCCAAGGGGAGATAATAATGAATTAGAGAAAAAATAATGGCATTTTTAAAAAATCTTCTTCTCCAGAACCACAGGGCCAGAAAAGATGAAACTCATCTGTAATCATCCTCAGGTAGTTCAGATTCAAATTTGTTCGAATCATGACCCCCGGGGTAGGGTGGGGCCAAAATGGCCGATCCAAGTTTTACATAGGAATATATAGGAAAAATCTTTAAAAATCTTCTTCTCAAGAACCACCGGGCCAGGAAAGATGAAACTCATGTGGAATCATCCTCAGGTAGTGTAGATTCAAGTTTGTTCAAATCATGACCCCCAGGGGTAGGGTGGGGCCAAAATGGCCGATCCAAGTTTTACATAGGAATATATAGGAAAAATCTTCTTCTCAAGAACCACTGGACCAGGAAAGATGAAACTCATGTGGAATCATCCTCAGGTAGTGTAGATTCAAGTTTTTTCAAATCATGACCCCCGGGGGTAGGGTGGGGCCAAAATGGCCGATCAAAATTTAACATAGGAAATTAGGAATATATAGGAAAAATCTTCTTCTCAAGAACCATTGAGATAGGAAAGATGAAACTCCTATGGAATCATCCCCAGGTAGTGTAGATTCAAATTTGTTCAAATCATGACCCCCTGGGATAGGGTGGGGTCAAATGGCCGATAAAAGTTTTACATAGGAATTTCTAGGGAAACCTTTTAAAATCTTCTTTTCTAGTACTTTAAAGCCATGCTTATTGATATTTATAGGGAATCATCCTTAGGTAGTGTGGATTCAAGCTTTGTTCAAATCATAACCCCCTTGGGGGGGGGTAAAATTCAAGCCCCCCCCCCCTCAGTAAACTTTCAGTTCTGGTCTGATGTGTGCTTTTTCCTAGCCAATTGCTCAGGTGAGCGATGTGGCCCCTGGGCCTCTTGTTTATGATAAAAACCAATTAACATGACGTCACGATGCATTGTAGTACGTTGTTATCTTATCGATAGATCGAGACACAGTTGATTAGACTCGGATGTTTACAAAGAATTCTTATGGGTACATAGGAAATAAATTTGTTATCCAGGTCCAATCAAGGGTGTACAGGGATTTACCCCGGATTGTATTCCATACACCCTTTAGCCTCAAGGTGTATGGAATAAAACCTGAGGTAAATCCCCGTACACCCGTACTTGAACCTGGATAACAAATAATATACAGACAGTCTGCAGTTTTATACTGTCTGCAGTTTTGAGAACAAGTATCAGACAAATTAGAAAATAATAGATTAATAGATTAGGGATTTCATGGAATATTTTTGAGCTGTGCTATGTTGTGTACCAGTACATATGGTAACATAAATTTGAATTTCATGTATTAATTAACGGTAATAAAAACAATTTTAAAAAAAATTACATCATAAATGTCATTTCATGTCATTGATGGTATATACATAATGTTTTTTTTTTCTCATTTTAGGTTCTCCAACAAAAGTAACCATGTCACTAAAAAGCCAAGTCATTTCTTCTCCTCCCCAAAACTCAACTGAGTCTGACTTAACATCAAGTGACTTGCACCAACATTAAAATAACATAAAGAAGTTCACGAGCCAAATTTGGATCTTCATGTATAAAAGAATGTGTGAGCAAGGTCTACATCAGTACATGGCAAAAAAATAAACCACAAAGGTATTTGGTGAAAATTCAACTGGTAAAGAGTATCTGTAGAGAGCCTCTGTATTCTACATCCTTGGGTTTCACTCCATTCGAATGTAAATATCGTAGACGATGTTTTGTATTGTAGTGTAATAAATTAATAATTATTATTAAACTGCAGTTTGTGTACATATGTTAATAACCCTTTTTGTTCTACAAAGTTTGTTTTCTTTCGCGTATGTATTTTGTTTATTTTATGTTTATTTTTGTTTGTTTTCCCCAGTTTTCACCTTCAGGTCTGCTAGTATGTCAAAGAAATGATTTTTTAATGGAATATTATAATTTATTTAAGCCTGATATAATTATCCATGGCAGATCACTGTTCAAAATTTGATATAAATTTTTTCTAAAGAAAAGATTCCAAAGTTTTTTTTTTATTGAGGGTTATTTATTTTTTTTGTCATGGATTAAGGAATAAAGGGAAATGAATGTTTAATTTAGGCTTTGTATATTTACAATGTATTTATTTATCAATATTAAATCAAGAAAAAAAGTCTGTATATAGTGTCTAGTTTTATTTACATGTATGTATTTTCCTGTAAATTAGTTTCTGAAGCAAATTTCTTACAAATTCATGAGGTATTAATTTTTTTTTTTAAATTCAATTAGTCTGGAATCATGTCAGTGAATGTTTTTATATAGCAAATATTCCAGATGTATGGGAATATGATTTCACTTTTTTAGCTCACCTGAGCCGAAGGCTCAAGTGAGCTTTTCTGATCACATTTTGTCCGGCGTCCGTCTGTCCGTCTGTCTGTCTGTCTGTCTGTCTGTAAACTTTTCACATTTTCGACTTCTTCTCAAGAACCGCTGGGCCAATTTCAACCAAACTTGCCACAAAGTATCCTTGGGTGAAGGGGATTCAGATTTGTTGAAATGAAGGGTCACGCCCTCATTCAAGGGGAGATAATTGGGAATTAATGAAAATTTGGTGGCATATTTTAAAAATCTTCTTCTCAAGAACCACTGTGCCAGGAAAGATGAAACTTATGGGGAAACATTCTTAGGTAGTGTAGACTCAAGTTTGTTCAAATCATGACCCCCGGGGGTAGGGCGGGGCCAAAATGGCCGACCAAAGATTTACATAGAAATATATAGGAAAATTCTTTAAAAATCTTCTTCTCAAGAATGACAAAGCCATAATTCATCATATATATATGGAAGCATGCTCAGGTAGTGTAGTTTCAAGTTTGTTCAAATCATGACCCCCAGGGGTAGGGCGGGGCCAAAACAGTCGACCAAAGTTTTACATAGAAATATATAGGAAAATTCTTTAAAAATCTTCTTCTCAAGAATGACAAAGCCCTAATTCATCATATTTATATGGATGCATGCTCAGGTAGTGTAGATTCAAATTTGTTCAAATCATTACCCCCGGGGGTAGGGCGGGGCCAAAATGGCCGACCAAAGTTTGACATAGAAATATATAGGAAAATTCTTTAAAAATCTTCTTCTCAAGAATGACAAAGCCATAATTCATCATATTTATATGGGAGCATGCTCAGGTAGTGTAGATTCAAGTTTGTTCAAATCATGACCCCCGGGGTTAGGGCGGGGCCAAAACGGCCGACCAAAGATTTACATAGAAATATATAGGAAAATTCTTTAAAAATCTTCTCAAGAATGACAAAGCCATAATTCATCATATATATATGGAAGCATGCTCAGGTAGTGTAGTTTCAAGTTTGTTCAAATCATGACCCCCAGGGGTAGGGCGGGGCCAAAACGGTCGACCAAAGTTTTACATAGAAATATATAGGAAAATTCTTTAAAAATCTTCTTCTCAAGAATGACAAAGCCAAAATTCATCATATTTATTTGGAAGCATGCTCAGGTAGTGTAGATTCAAGTTTGTTCAAATCATGACCCCCGGGGGTAGGGCGGGGCCAAAATGGCCGACCAAAGTTTTACATAGAAATATATAGGAAAATTCTTTAAAAATCTTCTTCTCAAGAATGACAAAGCCAAAATTCATCATATTTATTTGGAAGCATGTTCAGGTAGTGTAGATTCAAATTTGTTCAAATCATGACCCCCGGGGGTAGGGCGGGGTCAAAATGGCCGACCAAAGTTTTACATAGAAATATATAGGAAAATTCTTTAAAAATCTTCTTCTCAAGAATGTCAAAGCCATAATTCATCATATTTATATATGATGAATTCCATATGACCCCCAGGGGTAGGGCGGGGCCAAAATGGCTGACCAAAGTTTTTAAAGATATATATAGGAAAATTCTTTAAAAATCATTTTCTAAAAATAGCAAATCCATGATTGGTCATGGGACTACTTTTGGATTTAAACTTTACAATAAAAAGCCATTTTCTACTTTTTCCTACCCTTAGTGCTCAGGTGAGCGATGTGGCCCATGGGCCTCTTGTTCCTTTAAACAACTTTAATACTTTTTTCCAGATACAAGTATAAAACTCTATACTGTGTATAGATCTATACCTATATCATAACATGTAGTCTATGTTACCCCTGTACATATGGTCTGCAATTTCTTATTTGGACTGTATACCAACATGGTGATGTTAATAAATATTGGAAAATATAGTCATACAAATTGAGCCAGAACAAAAAAAATATCAACATATGATATGCATTATAGTGACAACTAGATATTATTTTTTAAAGATAACCTACTGGCATGGATGTAGGTCAGCTTGACATACTTCTATCTTTTCTCCCTTCTTTTCTTCATTTCTATTTTTAAACCACAAAACAAACTGCAGATTGGGAAAATATGATGCTTGAAAAGAAATGTATTTTGACTTGAATTTTATGAACTTTTAAAAGAAAAAGATTTTATCACTTTGTCAAATCTGAAAATGAATGAAATAAATATATAGTAAACCTGGAAGTATTAAAAGATTTGCTTTTTATTTTTTAAATCATTTTGAAAAGTCACGGAAGGATATTGCCCCCAGTGCATACAGCTGTCATTTGGTAGGTCGGTAAGTCTGTAGTTCACCATCACTTTCTGTTTATTTTCTTTGCAGAGGTTGCACATACTGAAATGAAATTTGGTATGCAGATTGATCATAAGAATATCTAGGGCAAGTTGTGTTTTGGGTATGATAGAGCCATTTCTAGCTCACCTCAACGAAGTTGGGGGAGTTTATGTAATACCCTCGGCGTCGGTGTTGGCGTCCCAGGTTAAGGTTAAGTTTTTTGGAGTAGTTTTCTTTTTAAGTACTTCAATGTCCTATATTGATTAGACATGCATGGAAGATGCTTCTAATGTGTTTCATTGTACAAGTCAAAGTTTCAGATGCTGCAATTTCAGCAAAGGAATGACCAGGTTAATATTTTTGGAGCAGGTTAACATTTTTTGTGCAGTTTTTGGTGTAGGTTTCATTTCCAAGGAACTATAAGCACTATGTTGACCAAACTTGCATCGATGATACATCTAAGGATGTACACTACCAGACTTGCTTCGGATGCTGAATCTTGCCTACATTTTCCGGTTGAGTGAACAGGTTAAAGTTTTTGGTGCAGGTCTCATTTTTGAGTAACTATAAGTCCTATGTTGACCAAACTTGCATGGATGATACATCTAAGGATGTACACTACCAGACTTGCTTTGGATGCTGAATCTGACCTACATTTTCTGGATGAGTGAACAGGTTAAAGTTTTTGGTGCAGTTTCATTTCCTAGATACAATGAGCCCTATAATGACCAAACTTGCATGGATGATACATCTTAGGATGCATACTATCAGACTTGCTTCGGATGCTGAATCTGACCTACATTTTCTGGATGAGTGAACAGGTTAAAGTGTTTGATGCAGGATTCATTTCCAAGTAACTATGAGCTCTTTAATGACCAAACTTGCATGGATGATACATCTAAGGTTGCATTCTACCAGGCGAGCTTCAGATGCTGAATCTGACCTACATTTTTTTCTGGATGAGTGCAGAGGTTAAATTTTTATGCAGGTTTCATTTCTAAGTAACTATTAACCCTACGTTGTGCAAACTCGCATGGATGATACATCTTAGGATGCATACTAATGGACTTGCTCCGGATGCTGAATTGGACATACATTTTCCAAATAATGGACCAGGTAAAAGTTATGGTTGCAGGTCTATCACCAAGAAACTATAAGGCTTAAATAAACCAAACTTGCCCAAATGATGCATCAAGGGATGAAAACTCTCAAGCTTGCTTCAGATGCTGGATTTTAATCACATTTTCTTGATGAAGAACTAGTTTGAAGTTTTGATATAGGTCTATTCCAAAGTATCAGATCAAAATTGTATAAATTTTGCATTTTTGGATGTAAACTTTTTGTTGGATAATTGTGTGACTTTGCCTTACTTAAAGATGACACTCGTTGAGGTGAGCTCTGTAATCTCTGATTACCTATGTTTGACAGAGTTATGCCCCTTGGACTTATGAAAAATTCAAATTATTTGCAGTTTCTGTTCAAAATGAAATTTTGTATACAGATTCATTATAAGAATATCTAGGTTGAAGTATGGAGCCATTTTTGTTAGAGTTGTGCCCTTTGGACCTAGAGAAATTTTTATTATTTGCAGTTTCTGTTCCTTTTCCTTGCAGTGCTTGCACATACTGAAATGAAATTTTGTACACAGATTTATCATATGAATATGTCAAGTTCTGTTTTGGGTATGATTTAGCCATTTTTGACAGTTATTCCCCTTGGGACTTAAAAATTCCAATTATTTCGGGGAAGGGGGGCATAAGTATTTTACAAACATCACTTGTTGTCCAGTGTAAGTTGTATACTGGACAATTAAATAATAAAGAGATTATTTTTATCTATTTTAAGAATGTGTGCTATATGTTTTTTTTTTTTTTATTTAATACAGAATTATATTCAAACCAGAAGTCTCTGTCGAGACTGTAGCTCTACTGGTTTGTACTTATCAAAAACCATTGCACTATTTTATGTATCTTTGTGTAGTCTACTTGTGTGCCAACTTATTTTGAAATCAGACAAAAACTGTAGAAGGAGTAGCGTTTTTAAGGAATTCCACAGAAAATTCTATTTTGAGTAACCATAGCAATACCGTTCATCGAAATCAAAAACCGATGCACTATTCTATGTATCTTAGTGTAGTCTACTTGTCTGCCAAGTTACATCGAAATCAGACCAAAACTGTAGAAGGAATAGCGTTTTAAAGGAATTTCACAGAAAATTCTATTTTTAGTAACCATGGCAACACCGTTCATCTAAATCAAAAAAAGATGCACTATTCTATGTATCTTAGTGTAGTCTACTTGTGTGCCAAGTTATACTGAAATCAGACAAAAACTGTAGAAGGAGTAGCGTTTTTAAGGAATTCCACAGAAAATTCTATTTTGAGTAACCATAGCAATACCGTTCATCGAAATCAAAAACCGATGCACTATTCTATGTATCTTAGTGTAGTCTACTTGTCTGCCAAGTTACATCGAAATCAGACCAAAACTGTAGAAGGAATAGCGTTTTAAAGGAATTTCACAGAAAATTCTATTTTTAGTAACCATGGCAACACCGTTCATCTAAATAAAAAAAAGATGCACTATTCT